TCCCATGAAGTTTTTAGTTAACGCACTGTTCATTTCTTTATATCTTATCACTTATAAAACAGACTTGGGAAAATTGTGCTACCATATTGCACCACAATACAATAATTCATTTACGCAATCAACCACATCTATCTTCCTCTATAGGTCATCAGTTCATGAGGCTGGGAAGCATCCCACAGCATACTGTTATTGCCTAGTTCATGTTGAATAGTACTTTTTGTAACCATATTGCAACCTGGTTTTAATTGACAGATGTTTTTATTGGGATAAATCTAATACGTATTCTATTTATGTTAATTTATTCAGTTGCAAGTTATGTCTTAATTACTTTAAGATTGCATTGGTTATATTATCTTATCTTAGTATTATTATATTATACCACTAGTTGCTATAAATCGATTACCAGAAAGAATATTAGAGATGCGCTATTTATGTCTAAAGTTCTGGATATTTATGTTTATTTTATAGGAGCGGTTTGCCTAGAAAATGTGAAAAATATGCTCCAGTAGTTACAGCATGTGCACATACGAGTATAACAAAATAACAGTGGTTAAGTATGCCACTTAATCTATAAATATAAAACTGGAGCTCAAAAGAGATATAAAAGGAACCTTTCTCTAGTAAAGTTGTCGAATATTGACATAAACCTGAAAGAAACCTGACTTGACGTTTCTTTGGCCAAAATCTTCCTTTTTGTAGTTCAAAGTCGGTGAATCTTTTTAAAGGTAAGATAATTATTAAATTGGTGTAGTGAATCTGGTCTTAGGCCGTGATTAGAACTAGATAGTAGGTACTACTCGTACCACACCTGCATTTTATTTGCAAATAAACAAACATATACCGAACTACGAAGATCATTCTAATATTTCGAAAATGGTTATTTATGGAATATGGTATTTCATAGTAAAATCTATCACAAAAGATGGCAACTACAACCCCTTAAAGTACTTAGGTCGACGTACCCTAACCCTGTATATTCATAAATAAATCTTGATAAATAAAAAAACAATCATGTCATCAGAATAGAGAGACAGAAATGAAAGACCGTGATACTTCATTATAGGGAAACTGACACAAAATTGTCATAATCAGAATAATCTAATCCATAAAAAAAAACATAATATTTGATTATCATGGGATTAATGGGATCTATAAAAATTGTTCTAGTAATATATTTTTCATAGGAATCGTGCGATGATTTATTGACATCCTATGTACTTCGACTTTACAAACCACCTTAATCAAAAATTACTTCCGTATTTCTTGTTTAGTATTATATTATAAATAATATTGTCCAACCGAACTAGACACGTCATTGGTGTCCACTTGCTTGACAAGTTACATTCGATACTCAAGGCTGAACAACTAGAGCAAAGTTCTGCGCTAAGGTCACGATTTAAATATGTAATAATTGTATAGGAAACTAGGTGTACGATGTCACGGTTCGTGGTACATTGTGGTGGTATTAAACACAAATAATTAAAAATAATCTTTAAAGCGGTTTGTATATCGCTTTAAAATTCGAGCTCAATCGGTGCAAAAAAATTGAATTTTATATTTGTCTTATATATAAAATTCTCGTGTCACGGTGGTAGAAGTTGACTCCCCAGAAACGGTTCGACCGATTTTCGGGAAATTTTGTGTGCATATCGGGCAGGTCTGAGAATCGGCCAACATAAATTTTTCATACCCCTATTTTTTTTTCTGGCATTTTTTTTTGAAATATTGTATATGGCAAAACAACGTTTGCCGGGACAGCTAGTATATATATAGAAAATAAAAACATCATCTTTGGAGAAGTATTTGTTCTCTGATAATGATTTCTTGTTCTTAATAGAATGCGAACGACCAACATACTCTATTGGCCCTCTATTGATATTAGAATACCTAAACCAGATTTGGACTTAATTGAAATCTTGGTACAAATTATAATTTCCTGAACTACCTACTACATTGAAATTTAGTCTGTTTTTTATAGGTTTACATTGTACATAGAACAGAATTAAATTTGATACGCGATGTGATTGAATTTTGATAGTTAGAGACATCATGATTGTTTTTCAAATTCCTAGCATAGTAGAAATGTAGCTTGGAACTAGATAAACTACCTCCCATAATTGTAAATCTGTGAAAACACCACTTAGTTCTACTTAATTGGATTCTGTCTCACTTTCAACAACCACAATAATTTAACTTTACGTTAGAAAATGCACTGTAATGTAATTCTTACTCCTTTTAAAGGAAATGTTGAACTAATATGTAAAATTAACTATATTAGAATTAATTTTATAACAACTACCATCTTGAGCATTCTTTGCTTAGATAAGCTATAAGATATGCAGCTAATATTCTTACATAACTAGATTTAATAAATATAATTACCGATCAAGGGGATAAAACATACTTCGTCTACTTTTAATAATTAGATTTTTGACGAATGGTATATAAATCAGCATGATGCCTATAATTTGCATGATAGCACACATCATCTTAGTACGAGACATCAAATTTAGGTCACTATTTACTGCTGGATTTTAATAAACATGAATGTAATAATTACTAGCTGACCCACGGAACTTAGTCTCAAAAGGTTTTTTTTTCTATTTTGCAATATTTTTTTATAGATGCATGGCTCCTATTGCTCTTAGCGTGATGTAACATAGCCTTCCTTGATAAATAGGCTAACAGATACAAATATAATTTTTCAATTCGAACCAGTAGTGCCTGAGATTAGCGCATTCAATCAAACAAAGAAACAAACTCTTCAGCTTTATATATTAGTATGGATTTAAAAATCATCATTATCATTAACAGCCTTTAATAGTCCACTGCTGGACATAGACCTCTCCTTAGAAGGGAGGTTTTGGCCTTTTATACCACGCTGGCCAGACGGGTTGTTATAGGGTTTGTTTCACCTTTCTTTCTCTTTAGTGTTGTGTCTTACGACAGCCACGGGATGAAACTCAGTATTCTTAAACTTTTACCACATGGACTATTATATAAATAGTTAAGGTGAATTTCATTTGATACGATTACATTGGCAAGAAGACCTTCCCCTTAATAAACATTTTGTGAAGCCAGATAATCGTCTTAAAGTTATTTTTGTATCCATACAGAACAATACTTTTTTTCTAATTTATTACTCTGAAATAAAATCGATTGCCTTTTAGATTTTACCGCATTCGACATTGGAACGAATTAAAAATACTAAAAAAATATAGTTATGTAGAAACTGCTGTAAGTTTTTGTTACAGTAATTTAAGTAACATCTTGACAAATAGTTCAATGAGAACATATGTATAAAAAAAAAACAAAATGTTAATGAAAAATGGTAATTTTATACCGGTAATACCTTCGAATCGAAACCAGATTTTTCTTCCTATTTCTATTATGTACTTAATATTATTATTTACGATTTTTTTATTACAACTTCCTTGACTTAAGACGATTCAATTCAATTATTTGTTATAATATGGGTTATACAATAAACAGATAGCACAGATACAGCTAGTTTCACCACATTAAGCAGAATGTCACAGAATGCAAAAATTAACAATAATTATAATAGCCACTAATTATAATAAAAGAATATCCAGTTGTGTCATTGTTCCAACTAATAATACAACTCTAAAGGTAAATAATACAATATAACGAAATAATAATAATAAATACCAAATGTCAAATTAATACGTCAAAATTTGTGTACTGATGTAGGTCAAAAGAAGATGTAAGATGAACATTATTTACATCATTCTACAGATTATCTTCCATGTATTCTTTTATCGAATAATATGTTTTACTAACTAGAATAGCGTCTAAATTTTTCTTCAATATAATTAAGTTATTTTCATTTTTCAAATCTGATGGTATCTTACTATATATGTATATATACATTTATATATACTAATTTGTTTACATGACGCTGCCTTGTACGAGGTTCACGTAAATATAGATTACACTTAATAAATATAGCTGTTTCGTATACATATATAATGTAAAGAGGAAACATTTAGCTTTCTGAATAAAGGTTTGAATAAATCTGTTTGCTTAAGGCAGGAAATAGCTTTAATCCACCGTTTTTGTGCTCTGAATACACAGTCTGCTTTGGTGGAGTTACCCCACAGTATAACACCGTAGTGAAGAGTTGACGATAAATATCCATGGTACGATGTTAAAGCAGTATAAATGTCGACAACTTTAATGAGGTTTCTTAAAGCAAACAAATAACTATTACATTTTTTACATACATGTTCTGTATGTTGCTTCCATGATATTTTATTGTCTAAGTAAATTCCTAGGAATTTCGTGCTCTGTACCTCTTCTATTACTTGCTCTTTATATTTAATATTTATTTTTTGCGGTGACCTAAAATGTATTGATTTGGTTTTATCGAGATTGATTATTAAATTATTCCTCATTAAAAAGTAAATTGTATTCTCGAAAGTCTGATTAATATTGTCAAGAATGACATTTATTTTGTATTTGTCAAAAAGTATAGTACATAGGGTATGTCGATATAATAGTACCCAATACATGAGAATTTAGTACAGAGCGTGTAGTCCTAAGGAATAAAATTGCAATATTTACAAAATAATTTATTACTTAAAATAAGTAAAAATGTATTGGGTTTTCTTTAAATTACTAACTAACGGAAACGTCAAATAAATGAATGCCCCGTCCTAGGATATTCCAGCTGTTTGATTTGCATTTGTGATTTATAAAAATCATAGGTGTAGAATAAATCCTTATAAAAATATAGTGTGGACAGAGGGACGCATGGACGGACAGACATAACGAAACTTTAAGGTTTCTTTTTTTGACAATTTGGCAACGGAACCCTAAAAATTGTCAGTTTAGCTGTCATGATGAATTCATATTCCTTTTTTGTTTATATTTATCATAAATTATAACAATTTTGTAGTTCTCTTAACATAAGAACATGTATATGTTATTTATATTTCAGGTAAGGTAATATAGTAATTTAATTTAAGGTAACTTACATTATCTGATATAGCGCTATCACTCAATGAAATACCAAAAACGCAGAGGCAACACAAAAGTCCACTGATCTTGCGAACCATATTTCACTAACACTTTTTTCAAAAATAAAACAAAGCTTAATTTATTAAAAAACAATGTAAAAATATAACAACAATATTGTTTGATTTTTTTTTAAAGGTTGAAGCTTTTTTTTTCTTTGCGTTCGAAATATAAATGTTATTCTATTTTATCGATGCTCAAGGCGTGCGGCGAAAGGTGCACGGCCAGTCACGGTATGGATCGCAACTCGCGAATGTGACGATTTTTGAAAGGCCCGCGTAGGAGGGTTTCGCGCCGATTTCGTTTGCGTTCCATTATAAGCACGTTCAAAGAGAACAATAATTATTGCGATTACGCGCCTATTAAAATTCACTTGCCAACATTTTAACCGTGTAGCAATGAAGTTGTTTTTTCATATCTTCATCGAGTCGCATATGACTTCTTTTTGTTTGAAAATGCGTTCATTGATTATAAATTGTTTAAATTTACTAAACTTATTTACATGTGATTTTCGTTTAAGGTACCTACTCTAATTTCAATGGTGACGAATAAATGGCGCTGTTTTGTTCGAAAAGTAATTAAAGCTTTATGGAATTTAAGTCGTGTCTACTATAGTTATTAATATAATTGGGCAGACATTTCTTATAACTCTCTTTATACTCTCTCTTTATAATTTTTAGCTAACAAACAAAAAAAATAAAAAAATATGGGAGACAACACTTTATTTTACTCGAATAACCTACTGTGTACTATCAGTTTGAATTAAATTGTTATATATTTATTTATTATTTTGTTTATTTTACTATCCTACTACTACTACTTTTGACTAAAGGTCAACGCCTGATAGTAAAAGAATTAGGTTCATTGCTCCATGATGATAAACCGGATAACCGCATACTTATAACTATTATAAAAAGAAATTTAAAAAAAAGATAATCTATTAGATTTATAGTCTTTTTATCAGACCTCGTAATTTTCTTTAAGTAAATAACTTAAAAATGCATGTCTATACGAACTTTATTAGAGTATGACTATAATTTATAAATATTTTATATGTCAGAGATTAGACCATCACTAGTGAGTGGTTTTAAATACATAATTTTCTTATATAATAATAATAATTTTTATTTAAAGTAAAGATTTACAAAATTTGTTTAACAATGATAGCCACACTAGGCTTAGCCTGTATCGAGGCTATCAATACAAAAACGATTATACATTAGGACAATATCAATAATATTAGAATCTTATATAAATCTCATATGAAACAATAGGAAGAGATCGCAGTTTACTACAATCTATATTTATTTAATTGACTAAGTTTAAGTTGGAGCTATGTGACTATTTATATGTATTCATTACGTAAGCCTGCCATTAAAAAACTAAGCGACTTATTTATTGGTTGGAATGTTCAAGGGATATGTGAAGATAGTAAACTCAAAATTGTAGTAGTTCAAACTGTGTAAATTCTGATGACTATATAATACACGATCTGAGATATTGCTGTTTGTTTTAAATCAGGAGTAGATATAGTCGAGTACAGCCTGTACAGCTGGTTCTCGAAGGTAGAACGCGGAAGTTCTTCCACGTATGACAGTCAAGCTGTCATTGATTGGCCTGCGCATACTAGCAGGCACCATCCTCGAATGTGGATTATTACACTTTATTTTCGGTAATACAATCACATTAATGACATAAAGTAAAAACTAAAAAAAAATACCCCCTGTGCAAAAACAAACCCTTCTATTAAGTTTAACTTAATACTACAAAAGGCAATAGTGCAAGGTTAATATAATCATAATTTAACAATTTTTTGAAATAAAATAAAATGGCTCTTCTGTACAAAATTACAAAAAAGTGTAATTATAGTTTTGTAATACCTAAGGTAAGATATTACTTACATAGGTACAGGTTTTTGCGTGATAATTTTTTTGTTTGGTTTATGTTAAAAATTAGTTATGCTTTGGTTATTTGACGATCTGCGCAAGATGGCTTTCAGGAGCTGGATGCGAGAAGCCTAAAATCGATCTAAGTCTCGTGCAATGGGAGAGGCCTATGTTTAACGGCGCTCTATTTCATTTCAGGCGCAATTTGGAAATAAATTCGAAAGACACCACTGGTACTACATATTGTGCGTAACTGTGTAAGGTATGTTTATATAGGCTCTAGTTCCTGCATGCCCGAAGGGGTAGGCAGAGATTGTTGAATATATTAAGGATTATAGTTATTCTTTTATTCATATTCACACTGGTAAACTTTTGTTTTCTGTATGAAATAAACATTTCTTAAACTAATTTTTTTCTTCAAATATTGCTTTACATAATGTTCTTGATTATCTACCTCTTTATCTAAAAAAACTTAGAATTAGTGTTTACTTTAAATACTAGAATAACTACTAAGAGTAGCGAGCTCTTTTGATAAGAGGTAAAAAACGACAAATAAATATGTGCACCGAACAGATATTTAACCAGTATCATTTTACGAGTCCCGAAGATCGCACGTTAAAATATTACAGTAGTGCTAGTAAACAATATTTATACAGAAAATGAGTAACCAATGGGATAATGATGAGACAGTTCAAAGGTTCAGAGAATATTTACGGATCCCTAGTGTCCACCCCGATGTTGATTACTGTAAGTAAAAGATAAACCAATATATTTTTACTTTTTAGTCTACTAATGTCTACAAAATATATTCAAATTGAACCGGTTTATAACGATAATTAACATTAAACAAACTTGTTTCAAAAATGTTCTTGAATGTTAAATAATAGACTACTTAGTGAGTTTAAGAAATTTACGAGTTAAAGAAATGGTCAGAATTTATCAAAACTTTAAATAATATTACTAATCTATTAGAAATGGAGGACAAGAATTTAAACTATTTATGTCCGTGTAGCTATAATGTGACGCAACGCTACATATCTAAAATACCAAATACCTATACATTTTAGTATTTCAGAAGTGTATCATTAAATTCATTAATTAAGAACTATTTTATTTGAACTGCAGTCAAACACAAAACATTATAGTTAAACAATTAAAACTAAAAATAGGTATACACGTATTTCAATTACCTAGCGCAACAGGAAATAACGAAATAATAAACACTATCTTTTTTGAGGAATACTTAAATACAGACAGAACACAAGTAATAAAATTAAAATCAGCATTCTGTAATACAGTCGTTTAAAGGATGTTAGATTTTTTTGTCAACCTTGCCCTTTTCTATACGCCTTGTAAAATTAGTTGAAGATGGCTACATGGCAGTTTCTCCTATCATGTAACTCTATGGAGACAGTTTAGGGAAGGACCTACATCGTACCCATACAAATCGAATCCAAAGCCTGTGCATTCTAATAGCGAGGTCCGTAACAGTGTATTGAATAGGACTTCTAGGAAATGGAACTTATTGCCAACTACAGTGGTGTTCAGTACTTTTTCCTAACGTTAGGATACATTTAATTGTAGATACAGACATATTTTTATTTATCCCATTCTTTGAATAAATTCGAATGAATACTTCATTTTGTTTCATACAAACATAGAAACACCATCTTAAAATTATTTCCAACCAAAGCAAAAACTCACAACATTTCATACATTTCTTGCGACCCCATTCACCATCCATCCATCCAAATTATATATATTTTATATATGTTACCAAATTGTTTTCAGCTAAATGTGTCACATTCTTGAAAACCCAGGCAAGTTTGCTTAACTTGCCTGTTTTTGTTTACGAGTTGGTGCCCAAGAAGCCGGTTGTAGTGATGACGTGGGAAGGTCTTGAACCCGACCAGCCCTCGATACTACTGAATTCACATATGGATGTAGTGCCGGTTTATGAGGTAAAATGAGTTATGTATTCCGATTAACTAAGATACCTTGTTATCGGGGGCCTATTGGGGATTATCGAGTTTACTTTGACAGGCCTGTTGGTCCAGTGGTTAGTAATCTCTGCTAAGTCAGAGGTCGTGGGTTCGAATCCCACCCATCACCAACAATTGTGTGATAAGCGCGAACATTTATTCTGTGTCTGGGTGTAATTTATCTATGTTACGTTTGTATCTAGAAATACATAAGTATGTTTATCAGTATCTGTTTACAATAACCCACCGCTACTTACTTTGGAATCAGACAGCCGTGTGTGAGATGTCTCAAGTTATGAAAAATAGTTTTTATCTTTTCAAGGTTGAGCCATAATATTTCGGTCTTAGTCAAAATTGAAAACAACGGTGACGTTTGACTGTGTCTGTGCTAGTACACACAGAACCCATGAAAATAGTGTCAAGAACGGCATTTAACTTACAGCATTTATCTGTTGAGCACTCAATTCAAAATTCATAATAAAGATTATTATTTTGAGAAGTATATTATTGAACGCAAGAGTTTAAATATTAAAATGCTTCATACAGTTTCATGTTTAAATTAGAAAAAAGCTTATCTCGTTAAATGAATATGTACCTACATGGGAATTAACGAGATCATGGCCCTTTAAATTGTCTGACGTTTCGACCAGCCTGCACTTGCCTTGGTCACGGGTTAACTGAACACCGCACATGGATACCTGCAACTCTAGAGTCACAAGTGCGTTGCTGCTTCTTAAGTGACTGCACGGATGGTGTAGTGGTTTAAGCGGTTGCCACGCCGCTTTCTACTGCGCTGAGTGTTGTGGGTTTGATCCCCACATGGGACACCGCTATCTATGATCCACAATTATTGTTCTGAGTCTGGGTATTCTTTGTATCCGTTTCATGTATGTGTGTAAAGGCACAGGATATATATTACTAATGCGGTTTCATAATGCGGAATCTACGACTTTGGAGCGACCTACACTAAGTACACAGATACTAAAAAAACAGGTCAACTAACTTTTACTTTAATGAAATAAAATAATTATATATATCATAAGAACTAGACGTATTATCTCGATATCTGTCGATAACAAAGTTAACAATTGCAATATTTACCTGTAAACATAATAGCAGTTATCAATGTACTATTGCATTAAAAAGGGCTTATTAAAGCAATAAACAAGACGGAATATGATAAATAGAATAATAAATACGATAATTATTTGCTTATATTTAGTAATAAAATCACACATGACATACATAATGAACAACAATTTTGGCCTGCTATTTTATGTTAACGTACAAGCCAATATAATATTGACACTCTATTGAGATGGCATTGACACACAAAATATCGGTATTCTACTAACACACAGTGTCAATAGACTGTCAATGCAGTCCGTTAAAATAATAAAATATTGTCCGAAAAAAATATTATTAAATTTAAAATACCATTTACCAAATTATTACAAATACATCGACGACATTTATATGTTCAGTAACAAGACATCGGGCATTCGGGGCCATTGGTCTTACAAAGTTAGTAGAATACGAAAAGTGATGACATTTCATCGACAATATCGATTCAATATTAAAATAGCAGAATTGAGGCCCCGCGTAAGTCATTTTTTAACCCTTAATGAAAGACGAAGAACATTCTCAATTCAATTGTATTTTTTTTGTTTGTCATCTCAGAACTGCGTCATTTATGAACCGATTTGGATATACGTACCTATATGAGGTTGCGTGAAATGCTTGAAAATAGATTTTCCTTTTATTTAGTTCCCCTTGAATTCATATTTTCACAATATGGGCCTAAGTGCGAGTTTGGCGACCGTGTTTGGCGATGCGATTGGCCCGCACTGAAATCTCCACCAATCGCAACGCTAAACGCGCTCGCCCTTGAGATCGAGTCGATATGAAATAAACTTGCACTTGACCCTCGGGCACAAACATTAAATCATAGACGAACCTCCTGCTATGCCTAAAAATTCTTTTACGAAACACATTGTTGATTTTTTTAAGTATTTTATAGCATTCAATAGGCGTCAACACAAATAGTGTAAGATATACTATTTTAATTACACACTTTATAGTGGGTGACTTAAATATTTTTATCTAATCTATCTATGCAACGGAATTTATCAACGAAGTTTTCTTCAACTTCAAAACAATATATTAAATTTAAAAATTTCAACACATCATGTACCGATGTCAATATAAGACTAAAAAATTTTCGTTACATTTTACCGAGTAAGTAAGGTTTTTTTTGAGGGAGAGGGTGCGAACGAGCAGACGGGTCATCTGATGGAAAGCGACTACCGCCGCCCATGAACGCCTGCAACTAGGGTTTTCGTGTACCCGACCTTTTTTATTACCCGGGTATTGGGTATTATTTTTTGGAGAAATAGAGAATTTTCTTATAATCATTTTTTTATAACGAAAGAGTGGTATGTCAATAAGTCTCCTTGACTTATAGTAAAATCAGTCAGACAGTTAAACCGTATTGTTCTCATTTAAGAAATTAAGAACTAAAAGAACTTTTAATCACAAAAACTTTAATTAAATAAAAAAATGTAACTTAATAATCTTTCTTCTAAGAATAATCAATTATAAAATAAATCAACTTAACATCAACCATATAGTTCAAATTTAACTTATTATAGATTTCTTCTTGACAGAAAAGTGTGTTCAAGAACACTATTGCGTGCAAAGAACCATCCGAAAGCCGGTTTCTGCTTTTTGTTACCGCCGACCGCAGGCGATTACCGCAGGGCAAATTTAAAGCAGGGAAGAGGTTACATTCAAGGGCTGGTAACGCACTTGAGTGCAACCTCTTCCGGTGATCCGTTTGCTCGTTTGCCCCTTATAAAAGCAAAAAGATTTCACGTTTTAATATTGTCAAATTCATTTAATCTTATAAATTGTATTATCTTCTGTTAACATAGAAAAAAAAAACTATTTCATTCTTGACCTCTTGAAAAATATTCGTAATGACTGCAAAAAAATTTATCTTAGGTTAACTTTCCTCATAATTTTAATGCAATTACATTTTGCACGATGCAAGTAGCTGGTGCATGTTGAGGCACTTACGCAGGTACAGACATGAATCAGAAACCGGTTTAATATGCTTAATTATATTTTATAATATACGTTAGTAGTAGTATTAATTCGTCTTCAAGTTAATTTATTAACTCTGGTAGAATAACATTTTTAATGAATGATATATATAAGGATTCTCGTTCGTCGAGACATTTTAACGCGATTAATTGCTCCAGGTTCTTGCACCGTGTACAAGCACCCTGGTACTGAACTCTGTCAAATCTGAAACGAGCAATACGCATACATGTGATCCGCGAGAGCAACATGCATATTATATCAATAAACGTGCAAGGAACTCGTGCTAATGACGCAAATAAGCCGCTTCTTTGCCCGCTCCAGCTACTTGTACCGTATAAAAGCACCCTAAGGTATAAGCAGGACACATCGTGAACACGGTGCTCCACACACTCGCAGAATGCACGGCGTGGGTGGAGCAGAGGTGTGACCTTGTGACGGCGGAGCGCGTGGAACTCTGCTGTCTTCTTCTGCAAGCACTTTATGCTTGCGAAGGAGATTGCGGAGCAGAACTGGGAGAGGTTCAGAACTATCCTGGTCCGCCCGGCCCGGGAACGGTCTAGGTACCGCAGACGACTTGGATGCTGGATGTCGCTGAACGATCTCTGTCCTCCATAAGTGCAGGCCTGGTTGTGACAGGTGAGGCCATCTGTCATCCTAGCAGAAGCAGGCCGGGTTGGCGCTGCGACGCTCTGCGGATCACGCGGTTTAGGTAGAAAAGGAACATCATAATTTTCCACACAGGAGGGGGTCTACAATTTTAATTATCTTTAATTTATCTTCTATAAGTTCACTTCCTCTATTCTTTTTTATTCTTATTTTTTTCTTAAAAAAGACAACGCCCGCATTAGGAATAAATCCTGTGTCGCGGGGGACTTTACAAACATACATGAAACGGACACAAAGAACACCCAGACTCAGAACAACAATTTGTGGATCACACAAAGTGTCGTCCCATGTAGGGTTTGAACCCACAACACTCGGCGTAGTAGGAAGCGGCGTGGCGACCGCTTAAACCACTACGCCATCCGTGCAGTCAATTCGCAAATATACTTAATTCCAGGAATGCTGGACCTACCCTCCATTTGATGCCGTCATTTCAGAAGACGGATTTATCTATGCTAGAGGAACACAAGACATGAAAAGTATTGGTATGATGCATTTAGAGGCTGTTAAGAGGCTGAAGGATGCTGGAGTCAGACTTAAAAGAACCATTCACATAAGTTTTGTACCTGGTAAGTATTGAAGGATGAACTCCAATTGTTTTTAAAATAGTCAAACCCAAGAGTGGATACTCAGTGAGTCTGTAGGCATAGTACTGTTGTCAGAGCACTGATCAAGAGGCGAGCCATTGTAGACGATGGTAGAATTCCTTCAGTAAAAACTTGTCTCTGAGTTTGCTTCAATCAAAATAAAAATAAAACAATTCCTTGCTCTGTTATATTGTATATATTATCCTTGCCCTACACATTGAATGCTATGCAAATTTTCAAAATGTGTTCAAAGATGAGGAGATCGGCAGCAAAGACGGCATGCTGACATTTGCTGCATCAGAAGAATTCAAGAAACTTAATGTCGGTTTCGGTTTGGACGAGAGCTGTCCTAATCCAATACCCAAGGTGATAACTGCTTTCCACGGAGAAAGGACAACGAGGCGTAAGTGTGATTTTAACATTACAAGGTTATAACAATGTCACAAATTCTACAATCGAATTTACACACTATAATAGTATGGCAATTTAAAAATAAAATTAATATTACCATCCTGTTATATCACTATTGATGTTTGAATTTAGTTTGTTTTGAGCTATTGGTAGATTGTCTTCCATCATTGATTGAGATTGTCCCGTTTTATTGAAAAAAATACGAACTGCTTGCACTCACACTCACGCTCTCACTGAAGGAACCTCGTGAACGCCTTTAAGCTATTGCGCTCATAAGTACTTTTTAAATGTATAATAATGTCTTTTATATTGTCCCTATCTTGGATTATGGTAATGTATGCTACTATGACCTGAATGCAGATCTCAACAAATATGACCGCCTTCTAAATAACTGCATTCGATTCGTCTTTAACCTTCGCAAATACGAAAATGTTTCCTCCTTTCGTCGCGAATTGAACTGGCTCACGATTCGTCAGCGCCGTCAGCTGCATGCCCTCACCACCCTCTATTCCATACTCATTTCCCCTTCCTACCTGACAGCCTCATTTCCATTTCTATGTTCCAATCACAACAGAACCCTCCGTTCCTCAAACAATCCACTTCTGTTATGCCCCACTCATACTTCCGCATGTGTCCGCTCTTCGTTCCTAATGCATCTGTCCTCCTCTGGAACGCTCTACCTCTGAAAATCAGGATAGCACCCAGCCGCCTCTCATTTAAGACAAAAGTCCGAGCTCGAATTCTCTACACTGGCAGATTCATCACATCCCTAAAGTTTTATATAGTGTATTATCAGTATATATATATGTATGTATGTAACTCAGCAAGTATATATATATGTGTATCTCAGTATGTATGTATATCTGTCACACGTTTTTTGTCCATATTCTTAATTATTATTATCTTGTTACATATAAAACTTGATTTCTAGTGCACCTACTCAGACATGTCCCCACCATCCAAAGGCAGACTGGGAGAAAATACCTATTTCATTAAGTCCGCCATTGTACAATTAATTGTTGTTTGTGCAAAAAGAATTAAATAAATAAATTAAATAATGTGCGCATTATATAATATTTTTAATGAATACTAGATGGCTATCAACAATTATAAAGTCTAAAGTGCAATCCTACAACAGTACAAATTTACAAAATAATTAATCTACAGGTAACATCTATTTAGCAACGACAAGTAACTCATAAATACTGGTTAAAGTCTTCCTACTTACGAAACGTAACATAATGGTGTTATATGGTATGAGAAAATCTTTCGTAACAAACTGCATTAAAGGGGTCATCACACACAGGGCGAAACGAAGTGTCAATGCGACAAACTCAACGGATTTTAATGCGGTTTTCATCAAAAGAGCTAGTGATTCAAGAGGAAGGTTTCATCATCATCATCATCATCATCATCAACAACCTTTACTAGTCCACTGCTGGACATAGGCCTCTCCTTAGAAAGGAGATTTATATGTAAAATACATTACACCTGTGAGAAGACCCACACGTATTTTGTGTGTGTGTGTGTTAATACGTAAAGGGACTTAGTGCATTCTTGCTATTTTACAACTATAATCGTACGTTTACTTCATCAAATGTAGCTAGTTTAAATTTCGCTTTCGGCTAAATATTCTTGTTTTAGGAAGTGTCGTACAGAATCGCCGTTAGTTCATAGTAGGATATGTAAGGCAGTACTTCATGTAAGGATATGTATATCCTAGGGAGCAAACTACACAGGATTACGGCACTGCAAAGAGAAGGAAATTTTGAAACAAACCCCATACGAACCCGTCTGGCCAGGGTGCTATAGTAGGCCAAAATCTCTATTCTAGAGAGAGGGTTATGTCCAGCAGTAGACTATTAAAGGCCGTTGATGATGACATATGTATCCTCGTGGTCATACTGATATGATAAACTAGTATGACCATGAGGAGACGGGGTATACTTTGTCTGATCAGTATAACAATACGCGAGTTGTCGCCCTGTGTCTTTGCCTTTATAATAATTTTAGTCTTCGCAAGACTCACGATGGAAATTAAAAGTAAACGTAGCATAATTGTCGATCTCATTTCATTGTGTAAAACATTTGTCAAGAAACTTACGGTAATATAGACTTTAATGACTGCCTTAACATGCTGATGGTCTAAATGGCAGATGAAGATAAGCCTTAAATTCGTTGGCTTTCTTTTCAACGTTTGAAATAACGAACCTTACGGGTCGTTATTTGCCCGCTAAAACTAAATGACAGGGTAACTGACTGGGCCCACTCTCATGGCTTTCAAGAATGATCTATAAATTTAATGCTGTCTTTTTTAATCCTAGCACACTTAGTAGCAATCTGTTAGACAGCGGTCTACCTTATGTACCTCGTCCCAATAATTTAGAGAGAGGATTTAAAACTGTTATCTTAGTACAAATTAGTGGATGCATGACTGTACGGATGGCGAAGTAGTTTAAGTGGTCAACTAGCCCCGTTTCCTTGCGCTAAGTGTTGTGGTTGATCCCGACATGGGACAATACTTTGCGTGATCCACATATTCTTATTCTATCTGGGTATTCTTATATGTCCGTTCAATGTAAAGAGCGCCATGGGAGTTTTCTTTTAAATATAAAAAGAAAAGAAAAAGTGGTAACATTGCTATAGAAAATGTAGATAAAAATAGAAAATGCGATTAAGTATAACTTTAGATTTTAAGACTCACACAAATGTATACAAACCGTATTATTATTATGTTCATATTGTATAATAAAGAGTTATCTATCCATCTAAGTCAAAAACAATTGTGTAAAAAATCTTGATTTATTAACTATTCTTATTTGACTGTGTTTTAGAAATCACCATAACATGCAGAGGTGAACCTGGACATGGATCTGTAGTAGCCCCAGGCCCTGACCGCACAGCTGGTGAGAAGGTACATTTCAACTTATGAGCAGATTCTCTCTTAAATATTTACTATAAATATATGTATATACAACGAAACGATGAAAAATCTGTAGAATAATATGTTTTTTTTTTAATTTAATTATTTTTGCACAAACAGCAATACATTGTGCAATGGCGGACTTAATCCTACAGGCATTTGCTCCCTGTCTATAGTAGAAACTATATAAATAGTTTATTAGATTATAAATATACTCGTACATATAATGCACTATATAAAAGTTTAGGGATGTGATGAATCTGCTAGAGTGTCGAGAATTCGAGTTCGCACTTTCGTCTTGAATGAGAGGTGGCTGGGTGCTATCCTGATTTTCAGAGGTAAAGCGTTCCAGAGGAGGACGGATTGGATTAGGAAAGAAGAGTGGCCACATGCGGAAGTATGAGTGCAGCATAACCGAAGTGGATTGTTTGAGGATCGGAGGGTTCTGTTGTGATTGGAACATAGAAATTGAAATGGGCCTAGGTTTCTTAACAGATGGACTGAAGGGAATGACTACGCCGTTATAAGTGATGGGTGGCAGTTTGCCTTGATCCATCTTTCCAGTCATGCGCTGACTGCTTATGATGATGGCTTGGCACTTCGCTAGTTTCACTGCCAAACCAAACCCATCAGCCCAACTGCTAATAGCCTGCAGGTCATTGTTAACCATAAAAATGGCCTCATTTATGTGAGGCTTGATAATAGAGTTACAAGTCATCGGCATAAAGATGGTACGCACATTGAAGATTCGGGGTTATGAGATTGATACACATTGAGAATAAGAGAGAAGAGAGAATGGTACCTTGAGGGACACCACAGTCATGCTCACGCCAACTTGAAGAGGCTTCATCGACGCGGACAGACTGTTGGCTGAAGATATGATGAGAGATTTTCTTCCTAAACGACTTTAACAGACAGTTGCCGTCGGGCCTTTGTAGAAAACATACGCTTGCTTTGCTTAAGAGTGCAAACTCCATTGTTTCTCAAACAATCGACACAATGTTTATCTGTATCAGTTGTAACCTACAACACACAGATGGCCCAACTTGCAGTGTTTGTAAAAACCAATATGACTTTGGGTGTGCTGGAGTCACTGAGAATGGCTTTAGAAGACTAGGCGAAAGGAAGAATAACTGGCGTTGCTTTAAATGTAATCTTAGTCCCTTACCTTCCCCGGCTTCAGCGTCTCCAGTGCCCAGTCAGTTGGATAAAATGCAAGAGCAACTCAATCAGATCGTCTTCCAGTTGGCTCCGCTTGCATCGTTAATAGAAGATATCAAATCTATTAAGTCTGATGTCAACAATCTTAAGGAGTCAGTGGAGATGGCTCATGGGCTTATATCTACTTTTTCAAGCTTCATCAAATCGCTGGATGAAAGAATTATGCAAGTCGAGAAGGTAGCAACAGAAATTCCTTCCATGCAGGCAGAAATAAGTAGACTGAATAGGGAACTGGATGATAAGGACCAGTGGGCCAAGGCGAATAACGTCGAGATTCGTGGAATTCCCCAAAAGAAAAACGAGAATCTGTATGATGTAGCCCAGAGAATTGGCAATCTTTGTGAATTTCCCATAAGAAAAGAAGAAATAAACTATATTGCCCGGGTTCCTACACTCGTACCGAACGCGGAGAAACCAATTATTATAGCTTTTAACAATAGATATATAAAGGAAGAACTGGTGGCGTCCTCACGGAAATGTAAAAGGCTAACACTTTCCAACCTGGGTTTTTCATCGCCTAATAACTTTTATATCAACGATCACTTGACGCAGCGGAACAAGAAACTATTGAGTAGTACAAGATCACTGGCGAAAGAACGAGGGTTCCAATATATCTGGGTGAAACACTCCAAAATCATGGCCAGGAAGACCGACAGTTCCCCTGTGTTTTTATACGCTGCGAAAAAGATTTGGCGAGGATTGTCTAAATTTTTATTTTATAGTTAATATTTTGTACCGTGTGTTGTATAAACACGTACACAGTTTGAGAACCATTTGCATATTACCTGCCTTTTGTTTGACGATCTATGAGCGCTGTCCGAGATGTCGAGCTAATCAATTAACGCCCGTAAGTACACAGTACTATATGATGTTCTCGCATGTATTCACGCGCTCAAGCGCTCACATAGTGTTCATTATTGTGTACACATTCACTTGTATAAGTTCGAAATCATTTTTATATCGATGTCAATACTTCTTATGGATGTTTGTAAACTATTGTTCGTGTACCTTATATTTTGAAATAAAAATGTGTTTTTCTTTTTATACTATAAACCAAATGATATGGATTGGTATTATTGTGAAGTATTTTACATGTTGTTTACAACTTATCTGTTCACCACAGGTAATTGATATTTTATGTGTTATATTATTGCATAATTTATATTTCTACGGCACTGTCTTAGTCTGTTACGATAACGAATTTTACATTTTAACCACGTTTTTAGTATTGCGTGGTGTTTTATCTATAAAATTAAGTAATCATTGTTTTAATATGCTTCTCTGGAGTTTATGTTTACCTTGTATCAATGGCTACCACTAATTTAAATATGTATTATCAGAATACTCGAGGCCTACGCACTAAAACGCACTTATTCAAGCGTAATATCCTTCTTTCATCATATGACATCGTTTCGCTAACCGAGACCTGGCTGCTAGAGGGTATTTACGACCGGGAGTTGTTTGATGAGAGATATGTCGTTTGGAGGCGGGACAGGGATTATGTGGCGACGCGTGAGAGGTACGGAGGTGGGGTGCTTCTAGCTGTACGTAGGGAGTTCGCTGCTGTTGCGAATGGCGTTCTACAGCAGAAGATATTTGGGTTACCATTACTTTAAAGCATCGAACATCGCTTAGTAGTTTGACCCGCTTACACGTATGTACAATATACCTTTGCAGTGAGAAAACTGGTAATTCTTTCAATATACAATTGCAGAACTTTACCCAAAACCTTTCGTTAATTGTGAACCCTTATCCCAATGATTTATTTTTGATAATGGGTGACTTTAACCTAAGTCATATAGACTGGCACGGTGAACCGAGTAACTTGCAGGCGAACGGGATTACTGGTACATCTCAAGCGTACTTTTTTGATACCTTATCTGAATGTGGCCTCAATCAATATAATCTTGCAAAAAACACAAATGGTAGAATACTCGATTACATAATATGTAACCACAGAGTAACTGTCGCTTCATGTAGCAACTCGTTGGTGCCTGAAGACTCTCACCATAAATCTTTAAATGTTACTGTTAAGTTTTTGAAAGAATGTCATTTAAAGAGTAATCCCCGCTATAAATATTGTTATGAAAAAGGGGACTATGAAGCTATCAAATTATCACTGTGTAACACAAATTGGCATACATGTTTAAACAATATCGCTTTAGAGGACGCAGTAGATACATTTTATAAACACCTTTATGGCGTCATAGATCAATCGATTCCCCAAAAAGTAATTTCCTCTAATTCTTTTCCACCGTGGTACTGCAGTCCTTTGAAAAAAATACTTAGGGAAAAATATAAATTTTATAAAAAATATCAAATTTATGGTAATTCTAGTGACTACAACACATTTTGCCTTCTTCGGGAAAGAGCTAAACGTATGGAACACGAGTGTTATATCTCGTATATATTTCGCTCTGAAGATGCAATAATTACTCGTAAATGCCCCAAGCATTTCTGGTCCTATGTTAAATCAAATAGAAATGGATCCAATTCACTACCCTCGACAATTTGCTATAATGGTCGGTCAGCCGACACAGGTGTTGAAATATGTAATCTTTTTGCTGCACACTTTTACTCCAACTTTCTTCCGCCGTCGACGTCTTCCTTACCAACTCCTGTGTCTTACAATGACGTACCAAATTGTATAGGTGATATAGTGGTTGATGCTAATGCAGTTCTGAAACTATTTCAATCTCTCAATCTATCGAAAGGGGCGGGTCCCGATAAAATTGTACCCCTATTTATTGTTAAATGTGCTGCATGCTTAGTCGAGCCTCTTACCATACTGTATAACAGGTCGATTTCAGAGGGACTAGTACCTAGAATTTGGAAGTCAGCATTTATCATCCCTATACACAAGAACGGCAACAAAAATGATGCTAAAAATTACAGGCCTATTTCAAAGTTATGTGTTTTTGCAAAGGTGTTGGAGAAGATTGTGTATTCACAACTTTATGAAGCAGTTACCTCAATTATAATTTCTGAACAGCATGGCTTCCTTAGAGAACGATCAACTTTATCAAATTAATACTTTTTACGGACTTTACGACATCAAACATGGATGGCGGTGGACAGGTAGATGCAATTTTCACTGACTACAGTAAAGCATTTGACCGCATTGACCATAAAATACTTTTACAGAAACTACTTTTTGCGGGAGTCCACGGCAACCTTTACCGGTGGTTTGCTTCATATATTGAGAATCGATGTCAGGCAGTAGTACTAAGGGGGTTCTGTTCCACCTGGTGCAACGGCTCTTCTGGCGTGCCGCAAGGCTCATTACTCGGACCACTTCTTTTTAATTTATTCATAAATGACGTCGGCCAATGTATAAAATATTCAAAATTTGTGCTTTATGCCGACGATATGAAGATATTCAAAAACATTACTTGCATAAATGACTGTCGCCAACTTCAGGAAGACTTGGATAGATTTGAACACTATTGCTTGGTTAATAAATTAGATTTAAATGTTAATAAATGTCACTTCATTACCTTCACTCGCAAAGCCAAAAAAATTAATTTTACGTAATCTATTAGGGGTCATGTGTTGCAGCAGGTGGATGAGGTCCGAGACCTGGGAGTTATTCACGACTCCAAGTTAACATATGAAAAACATATAGATTATATTGCTAAAAAGGCTAGTAGGGCATTGGGTTTCGTTCTCAGGTCTGGTTCTCAATTTAAAAATTTGAAAGTGTTAAAAGTGCTATATTGCTCGCTGGTGCGTAGTGTCCTCGAGTATTGCTCGCAAGTGTGGAATCCACGATACAACGTTCACAGGGAAAGACTGGAATCTATACAGCGTAGGTTTCTAAAGCATCTGCAATACAAGTCTAAGTGTTACGACCCAACTTATGAAGCGCGCTGTCGAAGACATCATATCTTACCATTGTGTGAAAGAAGGAGGATTTCAGATGTCACTTGTCTTGTCAAAATTTCTCAGAACGTTATTGATTCACCTACCTTATTATCTAAAATCAACCTTAAAGTACCAAACAGGATGACTAGACAACATGTATATCTAGATGTTCCTCATTGTTCGTCAAACTATGGGCAGAACTCATTCTTTGTCAGAGCTGCAAGAGAAATTAACGGACTGGTTGGTTTGCCACAATTGGATTTGTTTAACACTAAATCATACCAATTTAGCAGAGTATTAACAGATGCATGGTTCTCGGGCTAATATTATTAAACTGTATAACTTTTGTTTATTTTGTTACCATTTCGGTTTTTGTTGCTTTAGTTTTCTCATTTTATTTATCTTTTACATTTATTATAATTGCACGGTTCTTTTAATTATTAGTATGTTGTTAAAACATCACAAGCTGTTTAGATGTATAACTGCGAAAACATGTAAATGGTGGATAGTGTTAACACATGTTGTATCCTTTGTTATATGCACTGTATGTTTTCAGAACAAAATAAAATAAATAAATAAAATTAAAAAAGTTAAAAATTCAATCAACCTTGTCGAAAACTCTTATAATTACTATTATAAAACTTTTTTAATTAGGTTGAAATACTTCCTGCTTTGAGTACCATTTTTATGAAATTAAAAAACACAGTTTATTACAACTTGCCATGATATTGGTGCATTGAAGTAGGTAATACTTATTTAATTATTTGCGATGCTTTAAACTGTCAAAACTGACATGATTTCATTAAACATTTCATTTTACTGTAATTAACTTAAACATCTTATTTATTCCAGCTACATTGTATAATAGACCGGTTCATGACCTTCCGTGCCAAGGAGAAGGTCAAAATAGATAATGGAGCGTGGTTCGGTGACATCACGTCTATCAACTTAACCCAAGTGCAGGTAAAATATCTTTCGTTCTAATTACAGTCACAGCAACTAGCGCCATCTATAGGAAATAGGTTGTACTACTTCGTACTATTGAGCTCTGAATCGCTCGAATAACTTCTTGTAAAATCGAATAAATTTCTAATCCTACATAAAGAATATGGTGTTACAAAGTTATTTTTGCAGCTAATAAAAATTCATCTACACTTGATTTTTATAATTTTAATTTGTATTGACTAGAGTTCAGACTTAGTATGATGAATTTAATAAATAAGTATATTAATAAATCATGTCATTTATCCTTTAAATCTATGTCTTTATTGATAATTTAATTGGAATTGTATTTCAGTTGATATTTCACCCTTTAAATTTCAGGGTGGTGTCCAAGTTAACGTATTACCTGAAAATCTATCCGTATCGTTCGATATAAGAATAGCATGCGATGTGGATATCGATGAATTTGATGCGATGGTAAGTATTTAAAAATATTTTTTATTACTATAATCATCTGAACTCCGGTTCACCTAAAACGTGTATTAATTTCAGAGTTATTATAACTGATATAAATACTCGTATGTTGCATGAATATACTCACGCGTCATTCTTTTTCGGAGTAGGCACAGGCGATAGGAAGCCATTTCTCACGATCCTGATCCACAGGTCTCACCTTTTCTCCATTTATCGAGGCCTTTTAAACACGCTCACCGGTTACGGGTGCTTGTAACGACGCCTTTCTTCAGCACAGCCATGATCTGGTTTAGTAAAATAGCTTTCGAGCCTTACAATAAGGCGTATAATTACAATGAAAATCTTGGTTAATATAGCATTCGAACATGTGTGGTAAATGACGTCACAGTACGTGTTTTACAATACAGTCGTCCCTTTAATATACTGAAATACCTATTTAATTTCAAAAAATGTAAATATTATTTTATAGATTTCAAAGTGGTGTGAGGAAGCTGGAAGCGGCGTGACATATGAGTATCACCTCAAGAACCCACAAATTAAGAGCACAGAACTTGAAACGTTACCTTTTTGGAAAGTTTTGAAACAGGTTGTCAGTGACATGTAAGTATGACAATATATTATGTAGGCGTTTGAGGTAAATTTGGATAATGACTTGAATAAGGAATTGATAATAATAACTTATAAAAAGGTATTATCTCAAGGAATTTATGTAAGTCCAAAATTGTCTAATGACAATTTATCGACTTAAATATGAAATTCAATTTTTAAATCACGTAATTTTCAAAAAAATATCAATGAAGTCAAAAAATAACATCAAAATTTATAACAATTAATTTTAATTAAAATTGAAATGTTCAAAACCCAGCTTTTTCAAAGAGTGTATATTCGAGATAAAAACAGTCAAGTTCTGTCTTGAATTTTTTATCTTGACGATACACTGACCTCGATTATATTCATAGATTATTGTTTTCTTAAATGACCTAACAAGCAATATTTTCTTTTTAGGGGCTGTACAGTCAAACCTGTGATCTGTCCTGGAGCAACTGACGCTCGATTCCTTCGTCAGCAAGGCATACCTGCTGTTAACTTTTCACCATTCCCTGGAGTTCCAATACTAATACATGGTCATGATGAAAGACTGCACGTAGATGTTTATAAGAGAGGGATAGATATGATGGAGAAAGTCGTTGAAGCTGCTGCTAACGTTTAGGATTACGATGCAAAAGTTTGCCCTTACTTTAACTCGCATGTACGTCACGAGTATATAACGCAGATATGATGAACTGCTTTGAATGGTTCTTTATTGATTTATATGTATAAATATTTACCGCCATTACAACTATATAGTAAAAACGGCGTGAAGTGTCGGAAAAATGTCTTGTTACACATTTTTTCGGTCTCGCTCCAATCCATCCAGAGCGTGTCACGCGCCTTAAGGAACTTCGTTTCAATAAACTGTAGTAAAAAAATACACTCGGAACAATGCCAATCTGGAATATCAGACTCGTGACAAGAGCTTGAATTAAGTACTCGTATTTGATAACTACATTTCTTGGAACCAAACTCGTTAAATTTCAGAAAATAATAACAAAATACGATGACTGAATTCAAACTGTTGTTAGAACATCAGTAGAGATTACATTATTATTATTTTAAATTAAATTAAACCAACCCAAGTCCTAAATTAATGGGAAACTCGCTTAAGGCTGTATGAAAATACTCTCGAATTTTAACTTCTGGTGTTTTGGATTTGGCAAAATGAATAAATAAACCTGGCTGTTTTTAATTGTTTTAACCAACTTCAAAAAATAAAGCGGATTCTTAGTTCGATTGTTTTTTTTATGTTTGTACATCAGAACTCCGTAATTATTCATCCGATTTGGAAAATACTTTTTTTTATTTGGAAGGGTATGGTTCCCGTTTGGTACCACGAGGATGGAAAGAGACAAAGAATACAGTTTATTACAATAAAATTCAATATGATAGATGCGTTTTGACATCGGCTGCTCGTTTATTGTTCTGTATATTTAGCAGGAGACTTAAGTAAGTTTACAAATTAAATTTATAAAAAATGTTTAAAAGGTTCATTTTTAGCAGTAAAACAAAATAAATATATATTACACAACATTTTTATCTATAAAACACGATTTTTATAGCTGATTTATGAATATATCAAGAGTTCAACTTTAAACTTTACATTTGGCAATAAGTAAACTGATTTTACGACTAGGTACTTTTTTTTATCTCTTTTATGCCTCATGGAGATGAAGGTTTGGCTCTCGTTTACATAGTAGATTTGAGCGAAAAGTGACCAAGATTTGTTAGAAAACCGCTATAATGTTTCAGTGATAACATCTTTCTTTACATAAAATGTCGAAAATAGTGTGCAAACTGATCGTACTCTCAACGGCGACAATAGTTCTTCAAACGTCCGCTTATTGACACAATTATTCAAACCTCTTATTTCCCTCTAACGATATGTGTGTTAGGAACACCTGTGGAATACAAATATAAAAAGTTACAGAGCCAATTAACTGCTGTTCTTTTCTTCCTTTTCAATCCCCACTCCAGACTTAGTAGGTAGGTGGTCCCCAAGTTAACCTCAATCAGTTAATGCAATGCAACGAAAGAATTATTTAACACCGATTTTCTGCATCACTTCACTGCATCACTCCGGCATTGCCGACTCATATGGCTCTCCCACAACGAAGAAGGTCTTTAGATATGTGTTGTCATTATTATATAGATGATGCTACTGCTAACTTCAATACCAAATAATATAATGTAACACTAGGTTAATATTTATATTTGACGACCGGATGGCGTAGTGGTTTGTGTAACGGACTGCTATTCCAAAGAGGTCGCGGTTTCGATGCCCGCTCAAGTCAAACATTTGTGTGCATGAAAATTTAATGTTTGATTTGGTCTGGATTTTTCAATGTATACATACTTTCTTTTTGTAATTACATAAGTATGTATTCACAAAAAAGAAAGTATATATGTATTTATATCAGTTGTATAGTAGCCATAGTACAAGCTCTGCTTAGTTTGGATCTAGATGGCGTTGTGTGAATGTGGTAGAACATTATTAAAAGTATCGTAAAGTCAAAGTTCGTTAACCAAGATATTGAGTCAACGCGATAACGCGGGAGTTTATAGCAATTATGAATGACCTGAGTGCACTTTCTATTGTTTCCTAATCCGTAGCCATTCAACTTGAACTATTCCTGCTTGTGTTCATTACGTAAGCTAGTAGCATACGTACTTGTTTATTACTCTGTATTGTGACCTACTCTTCTAGTACTTGACTTTTACGCGCTATCTATCAGTGGCCAGTAACAAAAAGTTGAAAGCACTTAACAGGGTTACAGTTAAAGGCAAAACGAACGGGCAGTTTTTAACTAAAACTGGTTTAAGTTATTAATTCTAGACTTTCTACCTTAAAGTAATTTTCACGAAGACTATCAGGGGGTTGTTTTACAAATAAAGTATTTATAACGCCCTAATAAGTGCATTGCTACTGCTAGCTATTGCCAGCGGTGTCGTTCGCGTGATTATATCTTATTTCGTGTTTATAACTGATGAACTTCCATACAGCCGTTCATCCCTTATTTTACCTCCTTAGGGGTAAAATTACAAAAAATCCTTTTGTTAATTGGTGCTTGCTACATAAAAAGCATAAACTGCCGAAATTTCAAGTTTGTGGCCCCAACGGTTTAGGCTCTGCATAGATGAATCAGTCAGTCAAAGCAAATAATTTTAAATGTATAGAATTTGCAGATCTTACCTTTAGTTTTAGTTACTTTCATCGCTATTTTTATTAGAACGTTATGCCTTTTTACTTGTACTCGGTCCTCCTGTGCTCGTATCACTTTCATTTTCGTCTTTCTTAGTTTTATCAAATAAATTTGCTGATGCTTCAACGTTACTTCCAGCATTATTGGCCTCTGTCTGTATATTGATAGTTCTATTTGCCACACCGTCTTGTAGTTGTTTCAATTCTGCTTTTTCTATAGATGTAATACTCCTAAACTGCTTGCCATCTGTTAATAGTGTGGCAGATTCCTTACTTTCACGGCTTATGATTGATGTTGAATCATAAATTTGTATAAATTCCTTGTCGTCTTTGCTTTTACGTCCAAAATTTCGCACCACGTCGCCCAAACGTTTTCTTCCTTGACTATTTGAGAAGGTGGCATGTAAGCTCGAAAGTTGCCGCTGTGAGTCTCGTCTAGAGTTATGATTGTTAAAATGCTCCTCTATTTCGCGCAATGTTAAGCCTTTAGTTTCTGGCAAGAATATGTAGAGGAATACAAAACCTGAAAATATAAAATATTACCTAATAATAGAACTAAGAGTAATAATAATATTTTCGGCTATATAATCGATTAACTAGCTTACTAAATTCAACTAGTTGAAGTAAACGTATTTCATATTCAGATGACATCTTAATCGAAATTACTTATTAGATAGTAAAATTTTAACTGAGGTATAGTATTGACCCAAAACTAAAGTTAAGCAATTCTTTCTTTGACGTTCACCGAGTTAGTGAGATAAATGACCTCAAAGAACCCCCATTTAGGGGGGGGGTATGGACTTGTGTCTTTTGACTTGCATGTACCATGGGTGGCGGTAGTCATTAATCAACAGGGCCTCAATTCTGCTATTTTAATATTGTATCAAAAGACTCGATGGAATGTCGTCGGAAGAGTTTTGCGCTTTTCCTATTCTACTATCTATGTGAGACCAATAGCCTGATGACTTGTCACTAAACTGCCACTGACACAAATGTCGTCCATGTCTTTGTAATATGGCAATGTTGTTGATATCACCATTGATGAGCCATTGTCCATGCATCGACAGTCTATTGACACTGTAAATATATGTTAGTAGAACACCGATATTTTGACCGATATCATCGGCATCTCAATAGTGTTGTCAATGGAATGACAGTGGCTTGTACGTTAACATAAAATAGCAGAACTGGTACCCTCAACATACCACAAAAACGAGTTATAAAAAGCATAGGAATGAATTTAAATAGGAGAATCATAAAAATGTCAAGCTTATGTTTAACTTACAGATAAAAGAGCTAACACTGCTTAAGATCATAATATTCGGTATACCAAAGTTATCTTTTAGAGAAGGAAAGCACTTAGCAATGATGAACTTCTGAACGTTTATTATTGATATAGATATACCAGTAAGAGTTCCTCTAATCTAAAAGTAAATATTATTGCATTATTAAAGTAACACGTGAAAAACAGAACTTAAAACAAGCTCAAGTCTTCTGTCTGAAAATGTATTTATATAGGTACTTTATATAGGTATTATTGATATAGATATACCAGTAAGAGTTCCTCTAATCTAAAAGTAAATATTATTGCATTATTAAAGTAACACGTGAAAAACAGAACTTAAAACAAGCTCAAGTCTTCTGTCTGAAAATGTATTTATATAGGTAGGTACCAACTTGAAATTTACTAACCAGCGATTCTAATTTTTATACTTACACCCAGTGTCACTCATAATTAAGACGTATTTTACGATACCTTCCAACCCAAAATCCATCAAGAAGTTTTGACTACAAAACGTGCCAACGAAATATTCAACATATATTGGGACTAATCCCACCCACACGCCCACCACTGTAACTCCTGTACACCAGGATCCACAGCAGTGACCCACGACACACCGAGTTATGACACTCGGGAAGTCCCAGGAAGAAATTAAACTGTCTTGGAACCCGCAACGAAATTAATCAGAAGAAAATTGGAGGAGTTGGAAATACAGTAAATCCACTTCCCTCCTTAGCAAAGCGGGAGACAAAATGAAGTAAAATAGGCATACACCCTTTTAAAAAGGGAAGCACCACGGCCACAAAATATTACGGGTCCTACATGAGCTATATTTGATTTCTATAATATGTATGGCAGAATCGCCTAAACGGAAATTCACCCTAGTCGACACAAGATCCCCATAGTATACCGCCCCAGATGTCACCTGCAAGCTATTCAGCATTATATTACGTTCATTATACCGAAGACTACATTCCCAGAGGATATGATGAGCAGATTGTTCATAATGAGAGTTAGGTGTTGAGCATTGACACAATGGTGACTCGACTAATTTAAATGAATACAACTTGCTCTTAAAGTTACCATGACCCGTAAGAAATTGAGCGACACAGTGATCCACCTCAAGCCATGTCCTCGACAACCGTTCGCGAACAGATGGAAAAAATTGGTAAAGATGGCGCCCCTTGGATGATTCGTCCCAGCGTTGCTGCCATTCGTCTATATTCAACATATAGTCGAAAAACCTTTCAGCGATTCTTTTTACCAGACTGGTAAGATTAATGTATAGTGAAGGCGTTCAAGATAATCCAATTGATGTTCCTGTGCTCTCTATTCACAGTACGAACTTTGAGTTGTAGTTCACACCAACTAGATATCTTAGACAGTTTTCAGGATAGTCATTGAAATATATATATATGATTATATAGTAGAATAATATTCATTACTTCAGACCACAGATCTATACACAAGGACGTAGTTGAAAAAAAACTTAAAAGCTTAAACTAATGTTAGTAGGTAATTAGTACACAGAGAGCTGTATTTTTACCCGATTGCGCCCGAGGATTATGTTTTTCAAGTGCAGGTATAAATGGCTAAACGCTTAAACGGCGTGACGGATTTTGGTGTTTTAAGCGTCGACTTCGTTAGATTCATCTTTATTGTGAGAGTGACACCAGGAGTATGAAAATTGTAAAATATCGGGATTTTGATCCCACTATTTTCAAAAACTTATTAGTTCAGTTTATCGAGTGGGTACCAAAATAAACGGTTTCATAACTGCTTTACAATAATTTATATTTATAGTAACCCACTCGATAGACTGAAGTCAATAAGTTTTTTTCATGATGTTTAAATATTTACTTACTTGTAATGGATACAGTTCAGACATAAAAAGAAATGGTAAAATGTAGAAACCCAAACTGGCAAAAGCTGTATATATCATTAAAAAAATCTGTGGGAAAACACTCGGTTCTTCCTCAATATTTAAAAAAACTGCCAAAGATAAGCACGTAACGCTAACACCACCAGCTAAAAAAACAAATAATTTTTCTTGTTGTATTATTAGTACCTTTGTTAATAATATAACATTTATATATTAAAGAACTACTACTGTAGTAGTAGTAGTAGTTCTTTATTTATTGTTTCTCATCTTATCTATCTTTCACTTTTAATATACTTCTTCTCAGCCGAAAGACGTCCACTGCTGGATATAGGCCTCCCCCAAGTTTTGCCACAAAAACCATTTATTTCTCAGAGTGCCCATCATAGGCTTATCTCCTTTAAAATAAGTGGGACCACGTCGTGGGACTAACAGTTAGTAAAATGTTAGTATTTAGTACAGCCTTTCCTTTGAAGGATAAGTGGTGACTAATAAATATGGTGATATTTGGTCAAATTTACTACAAATGTTAACTTCATTTTACTTTACAATGAGATCAGCATAGTTTTATAATCAAGCCACGTCTAATCGAATACAGGATAGGGAAGAGTCGTAGTTCTAGGTACACGATTTTAATAATCTGGAAATGAAAATGGGATCTTCACAATTATTTTCAATATTCGTAACACTGGACTGGTTGTAAGACTAAGCTCATAAAAAATTTAATATAAATGTACTCTTGGTTATTTAAATAAGCATTTGCGTTTCTAATTTATAAAAAAAAACTAAACAACTTATGTGAGAATATACGTAGTTACCTGAAATTAAGGCCATCGTTTTCCTAGGCGTCCTTAATAAAAGTACTGAAGCAACACCACAAAAAAGAAATCGTGTGATTGCTATAAAGAAATTTCCTGTATAAACATCAAACGAAGACTTAAGTGCCTGAAACGATACAAGGCAAATCTTAAGAAACTACTTTGACGTGTGATTTTCTATCGGTTTTGTTATTGTTATACACACACATGACCACTATACACACACAAATATAGAGCGCGTTCTGTAAATGCATTCACATGAAATTGTTTAAAAATGCAGACGTTCCAATTTTCTTCATTGATTTAAAAAAGGAACAGGTACCAAATCCATCTGAATATTTTTTCGTGTGTATTTTACGTGATATCGTCACCATTTGTGAACCGAATTGAAGTGTTGGCACAAATTTGAAGATAATATTAATCTTTAAAGGTGAAAAATATAAGAAAAGAAGAATATAGCTTATAATATAAAAAATTATCATGTACACGGGAGAGCCATGCCAAGGCCTCATATAAAGCAGGTATTAAGCCATTATTTCTTAACTTTGCACCGAGTGCAGGAGATTATCAGAGGCTCAATTCACTTTCAGTCTGGAGAAGGAAGGACTGTCTCTTGATGTGCAAATCAAGTGTTCGTGGGGGAGGAGGGGGGGGGGGGGGTAGACGCACTGAAGTCAGTGATACGTCTTAATTTTTTTTTATAATTCCTCATAAATTGCGCTACCGATTCCATTTAATAGTGACTCACCGTACAATATTTTCATTTTAATTAAGATAATAGACCGAGAGGCGGCCGCAAAATATCATCTTTTTTTTCTTGAAAAACACTTTAAAGTCTACAATTTGACGTAGGTTTGATACTATATCATATGGACCAAATAAGTATATGAATTTTGCAATAAAAACTACTTCCCCCACTCCTGGATTCATACAGAATCAAGGCACTAATGGCGCTTATTCTTTACTAACGTGAACACCATCATTCCTGATGGTTTTCATCAAAATAACAGATACCCTGGAAATTTTGCGGCCGCCTCTAGTTCCATAATACTGACATTCCAAAAAACAATACCAATAAAAGTTCTATGGTCCAAAATGTAACAAATGGAGTTCCAGATAAAGATTCACATGTTATAAATATCATAATAATTCCAAATGGCTTGCAGGCATGGCTCGTTCTCATTGCTTTTAATTTTTCACGACAATTTAAGCTGAAAATAAAACAATTTTATAAGTGTTTTATCAAAAAGGGAAGACTTGTTTCAAAATCAGTTTTAGAATTCCATAGGACACGTATAAGTTTTTTAATAGCGTGGTGGAATCAGTCTAGATTGTCTGGTAGTTCTAATAGATTCTACAAAGAAAATTAAAAATTAAATTATCTACAAATTAAATGTTAAAAATTTTAACCTACGAATGTTGTTTTCCTGTTTGAATTCGATGAGGTCGTTAATCTCCGCATCAATGTCATAATGTTTGTCACGGACTTTAGCAAGTGCTTTTCTTGCTTTCCCTGTATTGTCTTGTAATAGCAGGAAATAAGGTGTTTCTGGCAGAAAAATGTAACTGCCAAAGAGCGCCATATTGAATACACCACTGATGTAGCACAAATCAGGCCATGAATAAAATAAGCTCAACGCAGCCTAGAAACCATAATTAAATAGTAAATGATAATTTACTTTAATTAAAAACAATCTTTGTGATATTTGATTTGTATTAACATGATTGTGAGTCTTTAGATATTTTTAAACCTTTTCATGCATTAGAAAAGGTAAATTGTTTTTTTTTTTTAATTATAAAAATCACCAGAGACCGGCCCCGGCACGGGTGTAATATAGATACTAATGTGGTGTTAGTAAGGAGTAGTTAATTTTATTATTATTATGATTAGACTATACTACAGGATATCTTTTATATACAATATATAAAGACATGCTCCGCGCCTGTTACCCGGGACGGACGTACGGCCCGGCAGCCGCTCAGCATCCCGCATTTTAAATCTCTGATATCTTCTAAGATATTCATTTTAATGATATGCTGTAGGAAGCAATTTTGATCTACATTAAATGCACAATGTATCTAACGTATTTAATTGGAAATGGAATAATTACTGTATTATTTATATGTAAAAGATAAAAATGGTTACTGTGGATTATCCTTAAGAAACAGCCATCTACCACTGCGAATTTTTTTTAGATCTTTTTAAGATACACAATTCCGTAGTACATTATTTTGGTTTATCTCGTAAGGTTTAGCCAGCGTTTACAATGTAAGCGCACAAAAACATGTTTTTACGATATCTCATTACAAATCCTTAAAATTCTCCGATTTTCTCTACTATAATATGCATGTATTATACATATAAACTTTCCTCTTGAATCCCAGTTTCTAATGACGATTAAAATTCATTGCGTAGTTCGAAAGATCTAAACGTACGGGAACGAAAAGAGACTTTATTTTATACTAAGTAAAGATGATAAACAAAGAAGTGGCAGACAGTAGATGTTAGATAGAAAAGAAAATAGGTTTTCAAGGTTCATGAGATCTACACTAACATTATAGACCATCTAAACTTTGTTATCTTGTTATCATTTTACTCCGAAAACATATCTACGTGACTTGCGTTTTAATTTTTGGTACACATGATAAATATGGCCTAGACATTTTTTGTTCTCACTTTTTTGCAAGATTGTATTGAAAAGTAGTGCAATTTTCTATTTTTTGTTAACTATATAATTCTCATGACTTTTAAAAAGAAAACGGTTATACCTGTACTGTCATTCCAAACGACATGAACATATTCGGCAGTGCTCCAAGTAAACCCCTCATATTAGGAAGGCTAATTTCAGATGTGAATATTCTTGAAGGACCCATAGCCATGCCACAGCCGAAACCCAATACTGCTCGAGCTGAAAGAATATATCTAAAATTCAGCATGTTAAAAACTAAGCAAGTAAATATACACTTAGCTATACCTATGTTACACTATAACATGCCATTTCATCCACCACTTCAATTTTCTTTAGGTAACAATAACATCTGATAATAAAAAATCATCATTCATAAAAATTTGTATGTAAATGTAAGTAGTTTATAAAGTAGATGTAATTTAAAAAAAAACTGGACAATACATACCTATAATCATATGTAAAGCAGTCTCTGATGAAACTGTATAAATCCATCCTACAAACATTGGCAAAGTACAACACTGTAGCATAACACTTCGGCCATATCTATCCATTAAAATACCAGTTAGTATACATCCTAAAGGAGAAAACAATGTCAGTATGCTGGCGAGCCAAGAAACTTCTTCCGTGGTCACCTTAATATCTGAACTATCACTACTGAGTTGAGGCGTCTGAATGGACGGGAAACCAAAAGCTAGACCAATGGCAATAGTGGATAAATTTGCCCAGATGCCGTGACCCAACTGTAGCATAGATGTCGTCGTATAGAAACCCGGATAAGAATCCTTGTCCATGTCCTTGGACATATTAAGTCAATTTTTGAACTCCCCACGTGCACATTTTACATTGATCCATACACTTAAATTGATCCATAGGAAAACGAAAATTCTGCAAATTGCTAATAAATACCAAAACATATGAGGGGAAAATGGATGTAGCGACTTTACTACATGACGTTGTATACTCCTGTCTGACCTAAGTAATCAAAATATAACTCGGTTCCTTTTTATCCAAAATAAGTTTTAGCACATTTCCTCCACCACAGGGTAAGGTTATATAGAAGTGATTTTGTCAGTGTCATCATCACAAATTGTTATCCATAGATATAAATTCTAGGCAGTATATGTAGGTTTATAAAAGGTTTTTCATTTACGATTTTTTTAAAGTCACGACCTTAAAAGCTCAATACTATAATGATTAGATTCACAAAACATGTTTAAGTTGGTTTAAGTCATGGCTCGTAAAATCATTCTCAAAAAGATCTCAAAACTTAAAATTAATGTTTTATTATCTTTAATATTGTTCTATTTCTTACCTCTTTAATAGACTAATGATTGCGCTGACACTTGGAGTCGATCGTAAGCATAATTATCATCATATACAGCTAAAGATACGATTATAGGCTGTTGATGTGATATATGTATACACACATTTTAGACTATTATATGACTGTATATAATAGGCTAAAATGTTCAGAGTCATCAGTCATTTCCTTTATTCGGCTCATCAAATCTTTTATTTATCTCTGGATTTTTATATTTTCCTCGGTAATGAGGGTTGTTTCATATGTAATGTGTAGTTATTCTTTAAACTGCTTACTTTTTTCATTAATTATCTATTCTAAATTTTCTATTTTAACAACAGATTGTGAAAGTATTGTGGCTCAAAACATTTTACATATTGGTCTCATTGCTGAATAGATCATGTTTCTATTATTCCTCCTATATTATTTCCTTAACTATTATCGTTACCTAAATTCTTTATTAGTATTCACATTGTATGATCATATCATGCCATCATGAAGTTTGACAAGATTTAGTCTTGTACTTTATACAGAGTCAAAAGTATATAAGGTATATATATTTCACCAGTTATCTCAAGTTCTGAAATCGTTTGTGCTGTTATTTCTCCATGTCCACAGCATCATGAGAAAGCCGTTCCTTCTGCTTTTCCTATTCCTATTGAATTTTCTAAAATAAATAGTCTTAATTTACCGTATATATATTCTTCTTAAATTTTACACTTTGGTGTACAAATAGAGATACTGTGTTGAGTTTTGATTTATCATGATATGTTGGAGTATTTCATTATGTTTGTGGTTTTGGAGTGACTACGCTGACTCTCTCTATAAAGGTTGTTAATCTAAGTAATAATTGGTATATTTTTGAAAAAGTATTCAAACTTTTTTAACTTTTACGAATGCAGTATAAAAGTGTTATAAAGTACTAATTAAAAATTTGAAAGACAATTTACAAAAATATAATTTATGATGTAATTAGGGAAGCATGCTTGGCCTTCATAGAATTTATCACAGGTGGGTAGATAAAAAGATTTGTGAACTGATTATTATTAAAGCTTGCAGTAAAAACAGGTTTCACGTTTTTCTTATAAAATTCTTCATTGATATTTCTCTCAAACATCGACAATATCTTCATGAGGTTACTGCGGGAGATTTTGCTGTATTCATAGCCATCTTTGGTTTGTTTTAGTTGTAGATCTATAAATAAATATAATGTTTTATTTATCTAGGGTTTAAGCGACGTTTGTCGTGTATATGTGTATATAACAGCACTGCAAAGAGAAGGAAACCTTGACAGAAACGCTGGCCAGACGGGTTGGTATAGCAAACCGTCTGGCCAGCGTGGTGTAGCTGGCCAAAATCTTCTTTTTAAGAAGAGGCCTAAGTTCTTCAGTGGACTATTAAAATCTGTTTATGTGAAGTGATGAACATCAATCAGAAAATGAAAGCAAAAATGAGTGTCTAAAATACTGTTTTTGCTCTCGTGTAAACTAATAAACATAATAACACTAAATTTATAAAGATTTTTAAATAAAACTTACCAACCTTCTTTTCACATTCATCAGCATAACATGTTACCATATAACACCATAGTAAGAAAATTAACTTCATGGCGTAATGCAATGAAAACGGTCATCTAACTGAACATACGAAGCGATAGATTTGATAAGAATAAAAGTCCCCTACTATTGGAACCGATAGAAAATACGTTTATAGTTAGTGAGTGTACCGACTGATCTCATTATTATGTGATCTGGCTTTAAATATAAAAATAATCTTATTTAGAAAAAACTTTATCAATTTTAAAATATATTTTCAATTGCTTCAGAGAGTAACGGTGTATTCGTGATCAGATACTGGAATGTCCGATCAACGGATGTTTCCATTTCTTCTCTACTGTAAGGGAGACACAAAACATTATGTGAAAGGTAGCACCTATATTCCTTTTTACATTGCTTTTTAATTACTTTAAAATGTCTGACACTATGATGGCATTAGTAGCAATTAATAGCTATCACTTTTTACCCTATCATAAATGAGACACGCGTCCGCAATTAACTCGTAAACACATGGTAGGGGATTTCATACATTCACTTTCTTTTTAGTTAAGATGTTTAGGAAACAAACGAGGAAATGGTACAACACGAAATATTAACAGAGGTTTAAAACATTTAATTTTTATTAAATCAGATATGTTAAACATTTGATAAAAACTATCTATTCTAAATTCTATCACAAAATGCTTTACTATTTTTTTATTTAAAAATAAATTATTAAATAAAATGCATTGTATACAATACACGAAAACGGTAACTTTAACATTAAATGTAATAACATAGTTGATACAATATATTCATAGTAAAATTCTATAATATATTAATTAACTGTGACCAAAATTATTGTTTGGTAATGTCAAATGGCACGTTAGACTTAACACACTATCTACAAAAGTAGTAATGATTATAATATTTTCTATTAAAACCACAACACCATATAATACTTTTATAAAATATACAACAATATAATCAATCATAACACAACACTTTTAATGGCTCATCTTCACCCACAACTTACTGTATTTGACATGACGTTTCAAAAGCATTAAAAACACGTACAAAACCTACTACATCGTTTGTAATACTAATATTAAAATATTATTATATGATGAGTGGTAAAAGTAGACACCAATTGTATTTTTTTTAAATTCATAATTATTTTTCAATAACTTTTTTATTTATTTATTCTGTATTAAATAAAATAAAAAAAACACAAATTGTAAAATTAACAATTTCGTTACAGAAAATTAAAATCTGTAATTTGGTTTTTTATTTAAAATTAATCTATAATTTGTGTCTTTTAATAATTAAATATTCATTTATACTTTAAAAAATAACTGTTACAGTTAGTTAATGGTACTTTTTGACTTTAAAGATTTCAAGTGAGAAAACGAGCCATTCCTAATATATCACAATTCTTACTTCTTCTATTCAGCACATTATTAAGTATTTATTTATGGCTATGAATACAATGCACACATTATAAGGCACATCGATTCCAGTATCTTTATGATTCTTATAGTACGTTATATTCTTATCTGTCTAATATTTTAAGAAGAGTATATTTCAAAATCTCTAATAACATACCGTAGTCTATGAAAAATCCCTTTTTTCGTTATTTGCCATGTTCTATAAAACTCAATATGTACTCATTTGATTGTTTTAAAACGAGATTAAATGACTTAATCTTGGACATTCTGAAACCGATATTTAAACTATTTACTTCGTTTTAAATAAGTATAAATTAAAATAATTGTACATTGTTCTACTATTAACATATTTAAAAAATTACTTTTGATCGTGTCGTCATACATTTGTGGTGACCTTTTTTAAAATAATATTTACTGTTGTGTCTTAGTTGTACTAGTTGCGTCCTATCAAGCAGCGTGCTGGTTTCGGACTCGAATGGCGAAAAGAGCTGTTAACAGGAGCGTCGAATAATTCGACACAAAGCGTCAAATGCGCAAAACTAGACCCTCGTACTGGAGCTCGTACAAGTACACATTGAACTCGAAAGGCCACTTCTACTGTGCGCACTGCAATCGGACATTCAAAATGAAGTTCGGTTTTTGCAAGTCATATCAGAGCCTATTAAAGGGGGAACCCAGGCTGAAGACGAAGCAGTCGCCATCACTAGAATCAATTCTTGTCTTACTCATTAAGAGTATTTTAATAACATTACTTATCAAAAGTCAACACTCATTCATATTAAGTACAGATCACTTGAAAACCAACCTTCATTGTACTATATTTATTTATTTATTCGATTTTAAGTATACTTCATTAAGAATACTTACATTATCGATATCTGAACTATGGCTGGATACTTAGGGGTCATCCATTAACTACGTCACATGAATTTCATGATTTTTTGACCTCACATGGGTAGTCGTCTGTGGGAATCTTTCTCTCTCTTGTGTGACGTTATATATTTTGGAATATCACATCCAGAAGTGAGTAAATTAAAAATGCAAAAATTATCGTGGTCAAGAGCAATTTTTCATGTTCTTCATTTAAAGTTTGTTTGTTTTAATACTTTAAATTTTGGCATGTAAGATTGGCTTATGACCTTCGTGACGTAATATATGGATGAGCCTTCATTAACAAGAATTATATCATACAGTCCACAGACAAACTCACATATTCGAATTAATCGCGCTTCATTCTAGACTTTTTTATTTACACTCTACAAGCTGTCTCTCACGCTCCCTCACACTGAGTGTTGCGCCTCCTCAGAGACTTCGTCCTGCCGCTGAAGTAGTCTTCGATCTCCTGCAGTGTCCTGCCTTTAGTCTCCGGAAGACAGAAGTAGAAGAATATAATGGCTGAAATAATAAACAATATTTTTAATAGTAAATAATAATCGTTTGACTACTTGTAGCGGAGTACATTAAACTATTACGCCGTACCAAAATCCATAACCCCGGTTTCGATTCCTACTAGGTGCAAATAAATACAACCACTTGGTCTATTTATATACATTGCATGTCTTTCACAAAACCAAAGGACCAATTTGAATTTTTAGACGTTATCGTCATTAATTCAAATGTCAAAAAAATATTGAATTTAATGTGACTTTTCGACCCTGAATCTCTTCTATAGAACTTAGGGTTTGAAATTAAATCTTACAAGGACTAAAACTTGAATTATGACCGTTTCCATTTTAGGTTAAATGTTGCCATTATATAAACAATATTCCACAACTGCGGTACATAGACCGCTTTATTGTAATTACGTATATAACGTAATAAATAAACATAAAGATGAATCTAATTTAACATTTCATAGGCCAAAACCTCCTTTCTAAGGAGAGGCCTATGTCCAGCAGTGGACTATTAAAGGCTGTGGATGATGATGATTGATAAGGTGAGAAATATATCAATATCTGTAGCATTTTTAACATCAATTGCAGTCTTCTGATCAACCGATTTCAACTACCCGTAACAATTCCTACAGATGTTCGTATGGTAACCGGGGCCGACGGCTTAACGTGCTTGCCGAGGCACGGAGGGGTCTCCATGTGTTAAGAATGGTGGATAGGTGTATCCATAGACTGACTTGGTTAGGATTGCTTACCTTTGAAATTTGCTAACATTTAACCAAGAGTCCTTAACTTTAACCTTCTAATGAACATTTGAAATACAAAACATAAACATTTTTTTTAAACATACATGAAACGGACAGAAAAAACACCCAGACTTGAAACAACAATTTGTGGATCACACAAAGTGTTGTCCCATGTAGGGATCGAACCCACTCGGCACAGTATGAAGCGGCGAGGTGACGCTTAAACCACAACACCACCCGTGAAGAACTTACCAAGTAAAGACATAGTGCCGTAAAGACCAAAGACTCCGTAATCATCGAGCAGTTTCTTGAGGTAAGGGTATGTCTTCACGACGGAGAACACGGACAAATGGGCCACACATGTCGTCAAACCACCGATGATGCCTCGAACCTGGGCAAAAAATAATAATTTAATCGTGCAATCGTGCCGGTGTGTGCGAAAAACAGTAACAACGACCACACGCACACAGTCACACAAGTAAACTTAGTGGCCAACTATTGGACACTATTTTTTCTCCGCTTTTACAGCTTTGATTATTTATCTACTTATCAATGATATAAGACATGAGGATAGTTATCTGTAACCGTTTTTACATTTGATATACATAGCTAAGCCACGAAGGCCTATCTTGAGTGCTAAGCGTTTGTTTAGATCGATACAAAAAAATACAAAAAGTAATAACATAAAAAAGAACTGAATACAGTATAAAACAATACTATATAAATAAAAAAGCGAAAACAGATAAAACAAAATAGATATTATTGATTTTGATTTAAAAAATGGTCGCACTTTATGGCTTGGTCGAATTTAACTATTGTATCATTCCGTGCGCTATGTTTGTTTAAATAGGGGTACAATCTTCGATCAACAATGTACTATTATTGATCGTAGGGTACAATGAATTAATAATAATAACCTCATACATCACAAGGTCTGATCCTAAACTAAGTAGAGCGTGTACTGGAGCCAGACTGCTGATAAATATACTTATATGTATATGTATTACTAAATGCACACTTATTATAAATAAATTGCATCCAAATACAGAACAAACGATCGTGCTTATCTCACAATTATTTGTCCTGGGGGGGGAATCGAACCCAAAACCTCTGGCTTAACAGTCAGAGTCACTAACGACTAGACCAACAGGCTAGTCAATTTTCATTGATATTTAAATTAATATTTAGATATATTGTAAGTCTAAGTCTAAAAATACTGCTGATTTAATTACCTGTGTTGGGTAAACTTCACCGATCATAACCCAGGGAATGATCAAATAGCCCAGTGTACAGAATATCATGAAGATATAAATGCTTGCAACTGGAATCCAGGCGTACTGTAGAGGCATTCCATTTTCGTTCCAGTACTTCACATAGTACATGTAGATGGCGAGGCATATCATTGTCAAACCGCAGCCCAATGCTGGAGAAAGAAAAAGTCCAATCAGATCAGACCAGTCCTAGCAGACAGCGCACGGGCGGGTAAGCATCGACAAAGAAAATACGTTTGGTCAGATCATTTTGTTCTGTGTACAACTATTGGCTGAGGGAGACAGCGGACGGGAATGTACTAGGCTTATTACAGCGCCATCTATTTACTGTTAGAGACAATATATAAACTGTTTTTTTCCATTGACTTCCAACTAAAATAGAGTATATTTTAGTATTACTTGACTTTTTAAGATCGAATTAGCCTCATTGCTATTGATACTTTGAAAGTACTTACCAGATACAAAAGTAAGGATTCTCCTGCCACATTTTCTGCAGAGAATGCAGCCGACCACAGTGAAGATAACACGCAAGATGCCCAGCGATATCGTCAGCCAGTATTTGGCCGTCTTGTCTGCACCAGATGCCTGTCAACGACAAGATTTTTGAGAAATGATCTTTGGTTTAAAGACTGCATTATTGTCAGAAAGTTTAAGGGATGACTTCCTCTTTAACTACTAAACTAGACATATGGTTACACCCGTGTGAATTGTCAATTTTGGTACTACGTTTTCCCTTGATACGAGAGTAGCCTAATGCTTTGTGCAAAAAGTAAAAGCATTTAGGCCAGCCATCCTCACAAACTTTTGCGTTTACAATGTTATTGGGATTTGTAAATGAATGTACGTTTTTTCGCATTTTATTTGCGACTGTACCGTACTATTGTAAGAGGATCAAGGGTCCTTTTAGTCCAAGTAAAAGTTCTCAAGGGATGGAATAATTACTTTTAGGTATATAAGCGAAATCTTAACTTATAATTTTACTAGAGCTTTTATTAAAATCGTACAGACATTTATATCTTATATACAAGCAAAACATGTCATGTAGATTACTTAAATATAATTTAAAAATTACTTTGCACTTCGGCCTCAATTCCGAAAACCGAGTAAAAAACTATAAAATAGGGAACGAAAATTTTAAAAACGTTTTAGGCATTACCTCAAACACTTGAACAGCGTAAAATGTGATGGTATTAACACCACACCACTGGTAGACGAAGAAATAAATAGCGAGGATTGTGAACGGCTTCAATGTTGATGGAGAAACAAGAGCTTTGATGGTTTCTCGGAATCCTTTCAGCCTGTAAACATAATGTGAAGTATTTTGTTTTAGTAAACTTTGTATTCATCTAAAATATATCTTAAAAGTATTTATGATGACAACTATGTATTTCGTATCTTATGTGGGCGTAAGTATGATTAGATTGGGAGTTGTAAGGCCGACAATATATATCTGAAGTGCTAGTTTTAGACGCACCAATATAGAATAGAATAGAATATATTTTTATTTCAAAAAATATATGGAGCCTAGATAAATAACATTGATTAAATAACCATTGGTTAGACTTTTACTTCGGCCCAGACGAATCATGGGATACAATAATATTAGTGTACTACTGTCAGATTTGTAATGAATATCTGAAACAAGGCTATCATCAAAAAAAGAAGAGCTACATAATATATGGTAGTGTTGTGAGTGACTGGGCCAGAAGACTATTATTAAGAAATGTCGATATTTTGCAAATAAGGAATAAGCTAAATTTTATACGGGTATGTGCAAATAATAATATAATATGTATTAACAAATAGTAGGGGAGACCGAGGGGATTTGAAACAAAGGTGATTTGAAACAGTAGGGATTTCTAGAAACTTAAAACCGTTAGCGAGTTGGCAACGTCGCTTTTTAACCACTTCCATCCGTCCGCTGATGTGTCAGTTCGCGTCGGTGGCATAAGTCGCGCGGTTGTGAAGATCTGCATGCCATGTGACAAAAATCGTGAAAAGTAAGTTTTTAACGCCTTTTTACGATGCCTATATTTTGATAAGGGTTTTGTATTTTGGTTTAAGTTATATATGTTTCGAAGGCTCATTAACTAAAGACATATTATATATATTTAGTACTATTGATTTCTGTGTATTTGTTTCTTGGTTGTGGATTAAATAAAAATTGGGAGGTTTTTTCTTACTGAGGAAATTTGAAACAGGCTGTTTCAACTCTCCTCGTTTTCAATTTCATATCAGTATTTTACATGATTCTAGTACACCAAGTCCATCAATCTTAAATTTACCCGCTACTCCTCCTCAAATCAGCTACGAAACAGAAGACGTACCCAAGTCTGCAGAAGATGCTGATAAGAATTCACCTGATCTAGCGATGTCTGAAGAAATGCTTAATACTATCACAATGCCTTCAACCACTGGATCTATAGCTGTAGCATCTACATCATTTCAGTTACTGTGACAGCAATTCCATTCTCACCTGAAACTCTTAGACCCTTGCCAAAGGCGCCACCAAGGAAAGGAAATCAAACAAATGGACGCAAAGTGAAATCCGCTATCTTAACCAACACTCCCGTAAAGGATGAACTAGCTGCAATCGTGGCAACTAGAACGGCTAAGAAAAAGGTAAAAAAACTTAACTTTGAAGAAATAAAAACAAGAAAAAGATCCAAACTAGGTACTAAAACTAAAAAGATCAAGGATCAGTGAAGATAAAGAAGAATCTTTTTGCCTTTGTTGTTTAGAGCCATATTAAAATAGCAGAGCCAAAGAAAAATGGGTGTAATGTCTGGTATGCAAAAACTGGGCTCATGAAGCTTGCAATGGTGTTGAACTTTCTTATGTTTGCCACTGATTGTAATACTTTAGAAATGACTGAGAGTTCATAATTATTTTATGGCAAAGATATATATGTGTATATATATATATATATATATAATTAAAGAATGTAAAACATTTTGTTTATTTGACTGGTATTTTTATTAATGTTACGAATAGGATGTTATGGTACTTTTAACTACTTTAAGAGTTGTTTATTTCTATTCACCTTTAGTTACCTACTTAACTGATATATCAGTCCAAAATATTAATAAAAAAATTTGTTTCGTACTTGAAAATTTTTATTTTAATAAATACCTTTAAATTTTATTTTAACTTTAAATACCTTTTTATTTTACAGCCCTTAATACTTCTCAAAAATCATATGTTTCAACTCTCCTCGGCCCCTGTTTCATCTTATCTCGGTATGAGGGGAGTTGAAACAAGTTGACTTGTTACGGTTAAGTCGTTTTTTCACCACAATATTTAAGGCTTACAATTTCTTTATGTTAGTCATTCGCAAAGTAAAGAATGACCTATCGATTGGTACTAATATCGATTTCTGTCTATAGTATTTAGTGTATGAAACAAAATGTCAAAATTGTTTCAACTCCCCTCGGTCTCCCCTAGTAAATAAACAATAACCGTCAATCGGACATGTTATCATCTGGTATACTCGTATCAGTAGATAAAAACATGTTTACATCAGTTACAGAGTTAAGTGCAAATGCAAACGTTTATAGTGATTGTATTTATTTATAAATCACATTAGATGGTAATGACGTGTCATTGTTTACATGACAAATGATATTACAATGTAAATCGGGACTATGCTGTGTAGGAATATTGTAAGTTATGATAAATAAATTATTTTAAAAGTGAACGTTGGGTTTGTTAACTCAAAAATGCGTTTTTATGGATTTTTGTAACATTAAGATAATATTACATTACACTTATAAAATGTAATATATATTACTATAGAGATATTGTTATTAGCGTGATCATTTTCTCTGTGTCTTGGAGTAATTTATTTAAACTAAATATAAATCTATATTTATATACATGAGTATGTATGTTTATCAGCAGTCTGTTACCACAGTACAGGCTCAACCTATACTGGGATCAGACGGCCGTGTGTGAGATAAATTATTATTATTATTGGTAGACATTTTTGCATTATTCAGAGACTATTTATCTAGGCTAGATAAAACTTTTGAAAACTTTGGATAAAACCCCAGTACTTTTTTCAAACTAATATTAACACAAAAAATATAATAGCTTTGCTTTTCCCTGTACACCTGTGAGCACACCTTTTTCAATAAGTTGTTTATTAGTAATAATATTATCTTTAAACCCTTGCTAAAATGCTATTTTCACACGTCGTAGTAAGCTTGAATAGTTTGTAAACAATATTTTAATCAGTCTTAGTCATATTTTATTAAGTCTGTTAATACACAGATAAATTCCCTAATGATATTTTTTTAAATGGCAATATCATCTACGACTAGTTTAAGAGTTCAATTTATAGCTAAACTAGGGCACGCCCTGACTGAAAATAAGTTTTTATCTAGATAGGATATAAGCGTCACTGAAAATTTTAAGACACACGGACACATACGTTATTGTCAAGAGAAGGGCTTCTATATTAAATATTTTTCATAAGAAGTTACAAGACAATATTGACTTTGTTAGAACTGTAAATCACTCCAACGATTAATTTATTTCAATACATTAACAAGAAATAGTATTAATCGAAAACGTAAGTTACAATTATCGTCTAAAAAACACGCTTGAAGACTCTTAAATGTATATAAACTTTCATTTACGATATTTCTTTTCTTAGCGTCGGATTTTTTCCATTCTAATATCTTTTTCTAAAGATATATTCAATGAAATTGGAGTATGTAGCAAAGATGCGTTAAGAACATGTATTACAACCGATGAACATACAAAATAGAAACCCCGTATACTTAAATTAAAACTTTAATAAAGGTTGTTTTGCAATGATCTTAAAACTGTATATGTTGAATAAATTTAATCCTTAATTGCAGAAAAAATAACTACAAAATATTATAGCAATACTTACGGCTCAACATGATTTTTTTCTTTGAAAGCTATCATCTTTTGTATTTCCTCCTGCAAGTTGCATGTAGACCCTCTCAGCTTAGCCAGGGAACTTTCGGCCCTCTCCCTGCCTATCTGAGTCAGGAGATAGTTGGGCGTTTCGGGCATAAACAGCATGCCGAGGAACGAGAGTATCGGTATTATTGCGCTGACGCCTGCCAAAATATTCCATGTTGTGTTTGTGCCTATTACATACTGGAAAAGAAAAGATTTAATTAGTTTTTATTAAGGTTATAGACGCTACAATATAAAATAGACATTGGGTCAATCGGTGGTTTGATTTTATTTATTTATTGTGGTTTAAGAATCTTTATTTCTCAAAAGAATTTACAAAATTCACTTACTGAGAAAACATACATAAAAGTAAAAAATAAATCCATTGAGCGTTTGAATATAATATAAAATAAAAGTGGGTAGTAAAATATATTTTGCGTAAGATTACGAACTTGCAAAACACTCGAACACAGAAAACAATGGGAATCCAAGCAACTGAACCAAAGATGTAACTTGAAATTATTAACTAGATGTGGCATCCAGATGGTAAGTACACTCTTCTATTATTATTACTGAATTCTTTTTTTTTTTTTTTTTTGGTACTTGATTGAGACTTGAGATTTTGTTTTATTTTTTATTTTTTTTAGTTTTTTTGATTTATTTATTAAGATTTATATTTGTAAATATAGAAACATACACATATGCATAGTCGTACATATACACATACATATACATACACACACACACACATACATGCACATACCCTGCATGCACTTACACACACACATACGCACACACACGAATATTATGTGCATATAGAATTGTTTTTATCCTTATTAGTTTATTTGATTGTAAATGTTTTAGTACAATAATAATGTATTAACTAATAAGTAGCTGCTATGTGTTTCTTCAATGTTTTTTTAAATGTAGTCAATGTAGTAGCATTTTTTATATTTAATGGTAATTTATTGTATATCTTTACTCCTTCAAATTCAATGTTCTTCTTTCCATAGTTCGTTCTGGGTGGTCGAGTTACAAGATGGGTAGCGTTTCTTAGTTTCATTTTTTGCCGAGCACTATTTGTTGTAAAAGATAAACTAGTATGAATATTTCTGTTTAATATTTTACGCACCAATATACACGTGTAGTATATATAAGTTTGCTTTATGGTCATTATTTTGGTGTCCTCGTATATTTTTTTAGTGGGAGTACGAAAGTTGTATCTAAAAAGAACCTTTATTAATTTATTTTGTTTTCGTTGTAAGTCATCTAATATAGTTTTACCCGCGGTTCCCCATATTTCCACTAAATAATCAATGTGTGGTTTGACTAGAGAGTTATTTATTTAATTGGTTAACTCACAGAATATATGTGTAACATTTATGGTAAAATCTAGGTAATAAGGTTCTGATATACATGCCACTTACGAGCTAACACAGTATTCACAGTTTATACTCGTACAACATATTAACAAAATCCCATTGATATATAGGTACTAACAATTTTTAATACGACTTTGCCGATCTGGAAATTTACATTGCAAAAGGTAAGATGAAAATATACGAGTATATAAATGGTATTTATTCTAACAAAAACATTTCTTATTATAATTATACTAACTTCACACATCTCACACACGACAGTCTATTTCCAAACTCATCATTTGATGATCGTCTTCATTGGTTGTAATTTATCTGTTATATGTATGTATTCCGTATTATATGTATGTAGTCCGTGTGGTGACGGATTAAGAATACAAACTGTCACCACCCCAATTCATCCCGTGGGTGTCGTAAGAGCCGACTAAGGGAGCAAACTAAGCAGGACAACAGCACTGCAAAGAGAAGGAAAACTTGAAACAAACCCTATACCAACCCGTCTGGCCAGCGTGGTATAGTAGGCCAAAACCTCCTTTCTAAGGAGAGGCCTATGTCCAGCAGTGGACTAGTATAGGCTGTTGATGATGATGATGATGTATGTATTTAGAAATATATAAGTATGTTTGTAAACAGTCTAGTTTATCATAGAACAGAATCTGACTAGTTTGGGATCAAACAGTCGTGTGTGAGATGTCTGAAGGTTATTATTATTCTTATTTGCAGTTATTTTTATCAGTCAATGAAAGGCAGATAGCAAGCTTAAGCGCCGAACCGTAGAGACTTTGCAAATACATAATGCTATTAATAGCTAGTCTAAATATTAAATCCGATCCCTTAGTCTTAAAATAATTTATATACTTGTATCAAATATTTGGTGATTAACGAAACTATCTAATTTTGTAAAACCAACATCATGTGAATGTCACCGAACGCTATAAATACATATCAAAAAAGACAATAATCAATCAAAATCTGCGAACACGGCCTCTCATGTCGACCGTGATAGTGAACGATTACGTGGAAGTTCATTCTTATCTATATATAATTGATGATAGCCTTTTACTCAGTCTTCTGTCACGTGAGTTTGTGCTCACAATATGCACGCTACAAGTATTTGTATAGACATGATACATCGAATAACACGTGTTATTTTAATGGCTATTGGCAGACAGATAACGTTTTCTTGACAACAATTGATAATATAATATAGTAAATGTGTGTAAACGATCTGGATAAAAAGCTGTAATATAATGTTTGTGTCCTCCAAATATCACATTGTTGTGCTTCGGTATTTCGCGGTTTGAACAGTATTAAATACATACAGTTGCAATATCGTCAGTTGTGCCTACAGGTGATCTACGTACGTGCGGTACTATCACATCCTCCTTTTATTCAGTGCAGCTATTTGAATAATACCATGTCAAACTAAAGCATTTTGTAAGCTCTTCTACACACGAGGCCCGAATTCCTACAAATACATATTATAAAACAGGCTTAAATGCCCAACGCGTTTTCTTCCAGTTAAAATGTGACCCAGTTTTGTAGATGTCTTCTTTCTTGCAATATCATATTTGTCAGACACCACATATGCTTCAGGTTTTACAGAACCGTGGTCTACAAAAAAAAGAGTCTTAGTATAATAATTTACGTCATAAATCCGTTTATATATTGTCACATGATTTCATTTCCTATGTCCATGTTAAACGATAATAATTAAGTATAATACTCATCCTATCGTATATTGTACAATCGTGACTACGCATTTTGCAACCTATTTCATAAAACCAGATAGATGTAGCAAAATTTATGAAGTACAAATTAGTGCATTGTTATATTATTAGATGCTAATAACTATTTACCATGATTCTTGTGAAAATCACGACTTATTAAATTGCAGAGCTGCGAAAAATCATTAATGTGTAATGACCTATTTTATTTGTACAAGAAAAACGTTTGTATCACAAGGTATAGCTTGAATGCTAATATAATTATGTAGAAGTACTTTAATAAGTTAGTAAGTGCAGTCTAAAATAATATGTAGTGGTGATAACCTAGTTGATTCGAGAGGTGTGAGAACAAGACTTTTGACTATAAATTGGTAATAATTTTCACCAGGTTCGTTAATCTCAATAGTTTCAGATTTAGAACGCAATCAAGTTTACCTCGAATCAGCTAACTTGATTTCTTTTTGCCTAAGTAGTTCAGTTCAAGCTCACTGTTGTTTGTATTCATATACATTTACACGATAAACATGAGCTTTTTAATGTCAAAAGCATATTGACAACATATATACAAGGAATTAAGACTGAAGTAAACTTACATGAAGTTGTAAAAATATGAGAAGATATTTCGATCTTTAAAATATTGACTTTTATCGGGATTGCAAATCAAGCGGGCTAAACCGCTAAAATAGTCATTTAAGTACAAAATCTGCATAATATGGTAAATATCCTGTGTCATTACAGTTTGTATGTCCTTTTTTGAATTGTATTTGAAGTCGGACAATATGTAACAAGGAATTTTCGCTGATTTCTTAAATAGTCTCTTGCATGCCTTGTCACAAACAAGTTATTTTATAATGGACCAGGTAATGTCTCGACATCGACTGGTTGATTCTTGGAAATCCTGTATGTACGAATATAATTCAATACAATAACTTTCGGTATAGAAGATGTTGGCGACGAGAATGTGAAAGCATGTGTACTTTTTTTTTTCACATTTACACTACGCTATCTTTTCCTAAACTAAGCAGAGCTTGTACTATAGGTACTAGACAACCGATATAAATACATATATACTTTTATTTGTAAATACATACATATCATACATAGAAACACCCAGACCAAATCAAACATTAAATGTTTATGCACACAAATGTTTGGCTTGAGTATCAAACCCGCGACGTTTGGAATAGCAGTCCGTTACACAAACCATCCGGTCGTGCGCTCGTCAAATAATGTTGTTTATGGCATCGAGCAAACGGGCAGTGGGTCACCTGATGGTAAGTGATTACCACCGCCCATGGAGACCTGCAACTCAAGAGTCAGAAGTGCATGGCCCACCATTGACGACCCCCCCCCCTCTTCGAACAAATCAGGAGAAGGGAAAGGTTGGGCTCCGGTAACCTCACTCCTTCGGTAGAGAGCAATAAAAGAATTGCTTCACACTCGGTTTTCTGTGTGGTGACGGATTAAGAATAGTGTATAAAAATAGTGTCACTGCCCTTATTCATCCCGTGGGTGTTGTGAAAACCGACTAAGGGAGCAAACCACACAAGACAACAGCACTGCAAAGAGAAGAAAAACTTGAAACAAACCCTACACCAACTCGTCTATCCAGCGTGGTACCTATAGTAGGCCGAAACCTCCTTCTAAGCAGCGGCCTATGTCCAGCAGTGGACTATTAAAGGCTGTTGATGTGTGATGTGATGTGGGTTTTCTACGAGGCTATGACTCCGTTCGAGCCGGCCCATATACAATATCTATGGCAAATATACGACGAGATGTACCTATACAATTGATTATTTTATTGGTTACTTGTGCTTTATTAGTTAATCCTGTGGAATTACCATGTTTTCCTATGTTCAAGATTATATACGTTGTCTCTAGTTTGCCAACTATTGTTTTATGGTTGCTTATAGCACATGCTAATACGACATGCATGTTCTACATATTTACGTTTCAATAGTCATTGTAGGCGTGTACCAATGCCTACTGATTGTTTGTTTATTATGTTTTGTCTCAGGGTTACAAGTCATATTGCTTTCAGAGATATAGTACCTACGTCAGAAATAAAGTTAAAACAAGATTTAGATAATGGTGCCAAGTCTGTGTGTTCGAAAACTCTCTAAACTGAACTAAAAAATCACTAAAAAGTTGTTTAAGTCCTGACAAACAACGTTTCGTATCCTAAAAACGTAGTACTTGATAGGACTAAACTAATTTTCAGTGATTTTAATACTCGTGGTAGAAAAAAAGGGTTTTTTCTTATGTGTACGTTTTTGCCCCCGACGCGATGTACAAAGCACTGGTGACGAAATTTAAACATCTATGTATCCTTATGTTTATGAGGCATTCGTAGTAGGAACGTAGTAGATGGGACCTAAAATATGTAACAAGACTTTTTGCCGACACTTTAAGTTTAAAGCAGACTGTATAGCAAACGTCTAGCAAAAAGCAAAACGAACTTCGTTCCGACTGGGGGTCCATAGACCCGTCACGTAATCTAGTGCTTATTGCCTTTTGTGTGAATTTAATTATATTACATGTTTATTTTGCCTTATAAAAATATTTATTTTTTGTATCTATTCTATCTGCTCTGAATCTCCAATCACAGCTTACGATGCTACATAATTCTGTACGATGCCAATTTCATCCACGTTGATCATTCATTGATTGACTAAGGCAATAAGGCTTCGCATTCGCCTTTAATAATTAGGTTGCCAACTGGAAAAAAACGTTCAAGGTTTTTTTTCAATGACGTAGTTTTATAAAATAGTTCTTGTACTGATTATATACCCTTATCTTACTTTAAAAACTACAATGTAAATATCTAGTAAAACGTTTTCTATCTGATGTTTATTCTTAAGTGATAACTAACTATTAAATGAGTGATAAGAAATTAAAGTGTGGGCGACTGAGCATTGGCGACGTGAGGTGCTATAAACTACAAATTATAATAATAATATTTCATCATAATATTTTTAGACATCTGACACGTTTCAAACTAAGCAGAGCTTATACTATGAAAGCTAGATTAACTGATAGAATACTTATTTACGTTTTTTTGTTAATACATACATATTATGCATAGAAAACACCCATGCTCCGAAACAAATATTTGCAGATCATGCAAACATTTATTCCGACCCGGGAATCAAACCCAAGATAAGGTCTTGGGTTTGATTCCCGTGGCACCACTGAGGCAGTCAAATTTATCGGATATGATGTAAAAATCATAAGTAGATCTTCTTATCTTAATAAAAAAAAACTATTTTTGCCCCTGCAAGTCTCAACAGTGATAGGAGTACATTTACTTTAATATACGTAATTAATTTCTCACCAAGATAATGTTCGCCAAGACTAAGAGCTATCGTCGAGTAAGGACCAACCCACCACAAGATACTTACTTGAATTAAAACACCAGTAGAAACGCCGACGGATGCTAGAGCACCCAGCATGCCTCGAAGATGCGGCTGAGATACCTCGCAAGTATAAACTCTGGCCGGAGCACCCACCATGCCGCAACCCAAACCGATCATTAACCTACCTGTAAATGAGGTTAACAAAATAGATTTTTAAATAGGTCTAGAGCAACAGCTAATTGCGTAGGCTTGTAATATAGCCGTTGAGTGGAATACTTGACTAACTCCATGGAAAGTAACAGGATTGACAATACCACACTATTAAAAAAATGACAAATATAAATATATTAAAGTTATAAATCACTAATAACTATGAATATTTCAGCTGGGTGACATAATTCAGTTAAGACAAAAGGACAGCAGTTATAAGAGAGACATTAAATATACAACATGCGAACCCTTTTCTAAATGTCTCCGGGACTACAATATAATATGTAACTTATGTAATGAGGTTTAGTTTAAAAATAAAAAAAGAAATTATTCTACTTTCTAAAATTAATTGATGTTTAAAGAGTATAAATTCGTTGTGATGCGAGTAATATAACAAAATTTAACAACTTACCGGCATAAATCATAGGAATATTTTGTGCAAAAGCAATTAAAAGCCATCCAAGTATAAGAGGAATCTCCGTGATGATAAGCGTATTGCGTCGTCCGATGTTGTCCATCAGGTAGCCACTAAGGAGGCATCCAACTGGGGTGCCGGCAGAGCTCAGACTTGCTGCATGAATTAACAAAAAGTTGGTTTATTGAAAAAATTACATTTCTGTCTAATATATGGGCAACTCATAAACATATATGACTGTATTTTCATTGAGGCAATACCCTTTAATTGAGCAGCGGATATGTTAAGGATTCAGGACAATATCAAATCTTTCCTCGTGGTTCAAGAATTTGCGTATCAAAATAAATTTCTCTGCCAGTTACTGCAAGAAACTCATGACAGAAACGGAATCACTTTGGTTGGACCGGACTGTAACAATTTTGCTCGACGCATGATTGATCAGGAAATTTCATTGAGTGTGATAACAATGTAATCAATTACCGCAAAATCAATGACCGCCACTTTTAGTTATAGACGATGTAATAGATTAAGGATAATTTATCATCTGTACAGAGCGTAATCTTAAAATAATAGATGCTCTGATAAAGAAAACACACAAAGATTTTACTGCGTAGAAATATTTCATAACCTAAAAGTATTTTTGGAATGTTTTCGTGGTGATCAATTACAAAGATTTAGAATGTGGAAGTGCACTCGATTTCTAAATATCGTATTGTTCGTAAGATTTTCATAGAAAAGGTTTATGTTAGGGTTAAGGACAAATGATATACATCTGTCATTGGGTCTGTAGGTACTATTTATATAAAGTTTTTATATATTAATGGTGGGTACATACATTTCGAAATATTATGTGTTTTAGTAGTTCGTCCGTGTGTAGTATGGTCCGTGTGGGGACGGATTAAGAATACAGAGTGTCACCACCCTTATTCATACCGTGGGTGTCGTAAGAGCCTACTAAAGGAAAAAACTACGCAGAACAACAGCACTGCAGAGAGAAGGAAAACACAAACCCTATACCAACGCGTCTGGCCAGCGTGGTATAGTAGGCCAAAAGCTCCATTCTAAGAAGAGGCTTATGTCCAGCAGTGGACTATTAAAGGCTGTTGATGATGATGATGATGATGATGATGTGTTTTATATTGAAATACAATTATGTTTATCAGAAATCACAAAATTCTTACCAATCCAACTAGATTGACTGTCTGTTATATTTAACTGTTCTTTCATCTGCGGTAGCGCAGTAGCTGAGAAACCGAAAGCCATGCCGGTGTTGATGGTCCCCAAGTTAGCTACAAATGATGCCAAGACCTGCTTGAGAGCTTTACCCCTGCCAAGCTTGGCGGCTTTCGGATCGGGTACCGGCGTTTTGGTGATGACGGCGGTATTACCATTTTTTATGAAGGGCGTTGCGTCGCTCCTGTAACAAAAAATGTAGTCAATTATAAAACACAATCTTTACAAAAAAAATGTTTTTTTTTAAATTCAATAATTACAAGAAATCACAAAAAAAAAGTCAAGTAGGGCATTTTAGATCACTTTTATTGTATGTTTCTATGGAAGTCATAATACTTTAACTTTACTTTGCAAAAACTTTATGGGTGACCGCTTGCCTTATGCCAATTCCCTTGAGAATATAACAGTTTTCAATCGGATTTAGATTACAGCCTCCTAAATTCTAAAAATAAATTCTCTTGAAATTACTTATAGCGACGGGGATTGTGCCACAGGACCTTATAAGTAATTTGGTATACAGCATGACCGCAGTAATGGTAAAGATACGTACAATCGATATTTGATCGCTGTGTTCCTTTCTTGAAACTCTGTAATTTAGTGTGCAAATAAAGAGTTATCTATCTATCTACAATTTTATTTTTTCTATTTTTATTACAATATGATACTTTAAAAAAAAAATATAATACACAGTGACAGTTAAATTTCATTATTTACATTTAATACATATTTAATTATCTATTAAACAACATTTAATTGACCAAGCCAGCATTCTACTATTTTAATGGCCTAGTGATCTAATGGTTTAATTATTTGTTCTTTATCTGGCTTTTAATTCATCTATAATATAATCTATTTAGACATAGATAAGTATGTGTACTCGTATTAACAGTATGGTTACTATAGAGCAGATTCTTAGTCTCAAGTTATGATATTATAACAATCATGGGTTTTTTTAAGGTATAGGAGGGAAAATGAGTAGATCGGTCACCTGATGGTAAGTAACTACTGCCGCCCATGGACACACCTGAGACTCAAGAGTAACCCCCTCCACCCGACTCAGGGCGAGAAAGGGATTTTTGGCTACGAGGGAGTAAAGTTACCTCACTCCCTCGGTGACAAGCAGCGAAAGAACTGCTTAACACCAGTTTTCTGTGACTGGTAGTACTCCTCATTTGTGCCTAAGCATGGCTCTCCCACGTACGGTAGTTTGTTTAACCCCCACCATTGCTCTCAGGTATAGTGACGGTGAAATGTATAATATGAAGTAATCGACACAGCCCGTAAAGCGACCAAATTAAAGTGGAGATGGGCTGGCCATATTATGCGCAGAACAAATGGCAATGGTTTTGCAAACGATGGAATGTCATCGGAATAGTTTTGCACTTTTCCTATTCTACTATGTAAGACCAATGGCCCGATGACTTGTTACTGATACAAAATGTCGTCGATGGCTTTGTAACAGTTTGGTAAACGGTACATTTTAAATTTGTAAGAAAATGATATATTTAATTTTCCAGGTATAGCAATGTTGTTGATATAATCATTGATGACCTATATTACTATTTCGCGAAGCGGCTAGACGCGAATGGCACAGAACCACACTGCTTGGCGTGATCATGAAGAGGCCTATGTCTAACCTAAACCTAACAACAATGGGTGACTAAAGGCTGAAGAAGAAGAATATAGTCAAGTGTCAATATAAATACAACGACAGAACATTACTGCTACTGTATATTCAACCTGCGTAACAGTACCAGTGCTATCACAAATGATAAGGTGCCATTCTGACCCCTAAGCACCAGTGAACCCTACAATGATTCTCAAAGTTATCTATAACAATTCATTGACTTATATTATTTATTCCTCACATTTATTAGTTATGACTCAACTATTTATTAGCCTACAATAAACAGAAGTAAAAAAAAAGTAAGCAACTAATTGATGTATCTGTAATCTAGCTTCATCCATAGCCGAAATGTGTAGATATCAGATAAAGTGATTCGATTTCTAGCAATTGCTGGTACATAGAACGAATAGCAGCTGTATTAAAAATAATGTGTGCCACAGAATCGATTACAGATTTTATAAAAACAAACAAGTATGCAATACTGTTTATAAATACCTACTTTTACAGACAAAAGGTTAGGTCACGTGCTTGTTGGTAAACTCTGTAGTTGACAGTGTTGACAGTGAGTGCAGTAGGCAAAGCTTTTTTAATTATAAATATATATATGTTAAATTGGTTCAAAATCTCAAAGAGTACTATTGAGCTCAAATGATACGATATACAACACGCTTCAAAGATGTTTTTTTTTTTCTTTTTTGCAATCACAATGTGCCACAGGGATGCGTGGCAGGGCACAGATTACTACCTACACCAAAATATTTTAAGAACAAGATTGAGAACTACAGAACATTCCTATGCGTCAGATCATATAAATATACAAGTAAGTGATAACTAACAAACTGTTATTGTATAACTATTATATAATTTATCATGTAATCATTAAAAACAAAATACTATCAAAAGTTTCCTAAAGGTATTTTAGATTAGCTTTTGCCCGCAGCTCCGCCCGCGTGCATGTCGGCAGTAATCTACAGGACTCAGGGATCTACAGCACTCTACGCTCTAATGCTGGAAATCATGATAGCACCCAGCCGCCTCTCATTTAAGACGAAAGTCCGAGCTCGAATTCTCGACACTCTAGCAGATAAAGTTTTATATAGTATATTATATGTATACGAGTATATATGTATGTATGTAACTCAGCAAGTATATATATGTATGTGTATCTCAGTATGTATGTATGTGTATCTGTCACACTGTTTTTGTCCATATCCTAAATTATTATTATCTCGTTACATACATATAAAACTTAATTTCTAGTGCACCTACTTAGACGTTTCCCCCCACCCAAAAGTAGACTAGGAGAAAATGCCCGTTGCATTAAGTCCGCCATTGTACAATGAATTGTTGTTTGTGCAAAAATAATTAAATAATAGTAATAAACAAATACTTATCCAACAGTGAAAGAATTGTCAAAATCGTATCAGGAGTACAAGAGATTATCGCGAACATACGACCTCACAAACTTTACCTCTTTATAATATTAGATAGTATGGATATTAATGTGCTCAATCTGGATGTTGGGCTCTTTCAACTTTAATCAGGTTGGTCTTACATGCGCCACCCCATACAGTGATACCATGTAATAGGATAGATTGACATAGGGCCATGTACACCATGCTATTGACAGATTTATCAGAAACATGATGGAGATTTTTAAAAATGAAAATGAGTTTATGAGTCCTGTTTAATAGTAGTTCAAGATGTTGATTTAAGCTAAGGGTGTTATCTATCATGATGCCAAGGTATTTCGTGGAAGAAGCTTTTTTTAGGGCTTCACAAGTACAGTCATGATTAGGATAGCAAGTGTGATAGGCAGGGTGTCATTTACTAAGGGTGAATTGTTTTTAATTGTGAATGGTATATAACTTGTTTTGTCTATGTTGAGTGTGAGACCATTATCCCGAAGCCAAGAAGATACAACATTAAAGGCGTGTATGCAATGCGTAAAAATAATATTTTTAGACATTGCACACACGGCCGTCTAATCTCGAACTTAGCAGAGCCTGTACTATAGTAACCAGACTACTGATAAACTTACTTATATATTTCTAAATACATACATATTATAGGTACACCTAGACACAGAACAAATGACTGTACTCATCACACAATTATTTGTCCTGGCTCGAACCCACGACCTCTACAAGCATAGCAGTCAGGGTTACTAACCACTACCACTACACTACAATAAAACGTTATACGATTTTGGAAATTTAAACAGTAAACTACTTTTTATAAAAAGTAAGGAAGGAAAAACTTACTAAGGACAAAATGCCGAAAGTAATGGTACTACAGTAAAAATGTCATTAAAGTATTTATTATGCTATTGCTATACGATCCAGGATAATTTGAAAAGGCCGTAACACTTCTTGCAATCGTTTCGTATTGACTTCCCTTCGCGGCACTGTGCGACTAACGTGTGACTTCATATGCTAACAATTTAAATATTGTTTTCTGTGTTTTTCTGCGACTAGTTCCCGGTTTGCGGGCGGCTAAAGGTTGTGTATAGTGTTTTAAAGAATATCAGTAAGTTTTTATTGTTTTTTAAACAGAAATATAGTGCTAAATTATTTTATTACGACTATTGGTGAGTAAATTTATTTTATTTCTAAAAGTGGGTAGGAGGTATCCTTTGTTTATATTGATTTTTCTCTGCGTATTGTTTATTTTTAAACTTGTTCCTTTTGAAATTGTTGTTTGGTGTGTCTTTGTTTGGCTATGTCGGTCGTTAGCGAGTTGCCGGACCCCGGCGGTACAAGTGAATTTCTAACACCAACCGGGAAAAGGACATTTAACGAAATGTCACCTACGGATTTCTCGCCGAAAGACAATAGAAGTAAACGAATTAATAATTCGGATTTAAGTGGAAATGTTTCGTCTCTTAACGGTCGTGATAACTGTGGGGAATACAATTACTGCGAGTTAGTCTCACAGGCTACCGAGTACTTGGCAAAAATCAATGAATTAGTTAATGATCAGGGATCTCGGATGAATGTAGGTAATAAAACGGCAATTATGGATATTACTCAACGAATTACCGGTATCGTATCTTTGTTAGCAATAAAATCCTCTAGCAACGAAACGAAGTTAGCGAATTTTGAGCGACAAATGGAGGGTATCGCAACTCAACAAACGAGTTTAACGTACGCGGACAAACTTAAGCTTCGATTACCACCTAAATCTGCTCCGTGCCCGGTACCTACTGAAGCGCGCGTTCCTAGGCCTTGTGTTATTGCCTATCCCACTACGGAACGCTTAGCGGACTATGCGACCTCGTCAGCAACGAAACAAGCTCTCATGAAGGCTATTAAACCGAGCGATGAGGGATTTCAAATTGTAGGCGTTAAAAAAACCACTAAGGCAGGCGTCGTGTTACGTGTAGCTAACGAACGGCAGCTTAAGAAACTGGAATCTGTGGACGCCATTAAATCAGTAGGGTTGCGCTTAGAAAAACCGAAAGGCCGTAGGCCCCGTATAATTGTAAAAGACGTACCCGGTTCTATGGAAGATCGTGCCTTCCTAACAGCTTTATACCGTCAGAATATCAAGGACGA